TTGGCATGGTGGCCCACCTGCAATTCTAGCCTTGGAAGACAGAGATAGTGAATCCCCAGAACAAGCTAGCTGGCTGGCAAGGCTAGCCAAACCTACAAGCTTTGGAAGATTTGATCGAGAGATCAATCCTACCTTAGTATAAATAAAAAGAAAGAGTAACCTGTGGGGCAGTGTGGGGCACATGCCTTTAATCCCAGAATTCTGAGTTCGAGACCAGCGTGTTCATGCACATGTGTATGTGTGTGTGTGTGTGCTTGTGTGTGTGTGTGTATCTGTGGTGACTTAACCTCAGGCCTTCATATGCATGGTTCATATGCAAAAATGTATACATATGCCCATGTATATGCACATGCTAGTGTACACACACACACACACACACACACACACTGGACAAAGGGAAAATAAAAGAAAAGCTGTACGCACATGCCAGTTCAAGAGCCCTTTTTACTCTTTATCGCCAGACCCTTGGAAAAGAATATGCTAAGCACTCTACCATATTACCTCTTTTAAACTTCAGGAATTGCTGTTTCTGTTCTAGAAGTATGAAACTACAGACTGGGGTTGGTTGTGGCTCAGTTGGTAGGGTGCATATTGGGCAAGTATGAGGTCGTAGATTAGATCCTAGGCATATAAATGAGGTGTGGTATACCTGTAACACCAGCACCTAACAGGAACAGAGGAATCGGAAGTTTAAGGATAGTTTTGGTTACATACCAAGTTTAAGGACAGACCGTCTCACCATCAGTGATTGGATGAGTGGATGGATGCATCCTGTCCAAAAGGTAAGTGACTGGCTCATTTACCTCCTTTGGGTTTTAGTCAGATGTTATCTTGCTGAGGCTTCCCCTTTACCTTACTCAAACTTAGCCCTTTCTCCCTCCACACCCCTCCCCCCCCCCCGCCCCACTGCATAGCGCTAACTTCAGGTTTAATGAGTTTCTTGAGTCTGTGTCCCCTACCGCCATTTCCTGCCCCATAGACTGTGGACTCCACGAGGGTAGGGATTTTTGACCACTTTATTCATCATTGTTCTCCAGCCTTCAGAGCAGTGCCTGTCAGGGTAAAGGACTCAATAATTACTTTCTGAAGGCATGAATGAGGCTCAGGCACATTTAATAAGTTGGTGGAGTGGCAGCCCTTCCAAACCCAATGTGTTAATTGCTCTACCTTGTGACGTAGACCCAGAGCAAAGACCAAAGCATAACTCTGGGGTTCCAAGAAGCCATGAGTCTTGCCAAGAAAGTGAGGCTTGGCTCCTTGGGAATTAGGCTCTAGGACCTTGGGCAAGCCCCCTTCAGGAGCCTCTTCTCTTCTCTCTGCTCTGAGTCACTGGTAAAGCCATAGCACCCGTCCTTATTTTTAGTGCTGCTGCTGTTGTAGGGCTGTAACCATTAGCCAGTAAGAGACTTAAGAGAAGAGATAAACATTAATCTTCTGGGCCTTCCCTCAGCTGCCACCTCCGCATTACAAGATGCTGTTCTCCCACACCTGCCCAAGAGCTGTGGGTCAAGGGTGGTGAGCTGAGTGGTCAGAGATAGAGGGTGGTGGGTCTGCAGCTGGTGCAGTTGACTTGCTTGATGCCTTGGTCTCAAGACCAGGGCTGAGAGGAATGTGGTTTGCCCTGTCATATGTCCAGATTTGGGAGGAGCAAATACACCCCCATCAAGTAGGTTTATTGCGGCTTCCTTGAATGTTTGAGTTGGTGGAAGTCTGTAGCCATGTTGTTCTACCAGGGACCAAGGAACATCTTTCTCTCTGACACCAAGGGATACCAAGAAACGTTGGGAATTGGGAAATATCCAAGGTTCTCCTGGCTAAATCCTGGTCATTGGCCATGCTGAACCTGAAGGTGGGAAGAAAGGCCTGACCCAGATCTTGGGCAGCGGGGATGGATTAGCTGCTGCATAGCAGGAACTAATCTCTGCCTGTCCCCACGTCTTTTACAAAGCAGAGCTGTTGCTGGAGGGAAGGTTTAGGATGAAACTGAGGATGACTGGAAAACACTGTAAGGGAGGTCCTTCCACTCTGTCATCTTTGCATTCTCTCACAGTGACAGGCTGGCATTTGATGCCCTTCTTCCTGTTGAACCTCAAGTGACTTAACTTCTCTGGGCCTTAGTTTTACCACCTACAAAATTGAAGTAATCAAGCTGGGTGTGGTGGTACATACCTTTGATTCCAGCACTCAGGAGGCAGAGGCTGACCTCTGAGTTCCAGGACAGCCTGGTCTGTAGAGTGAGTTCCAGGATAACCAGGGCTACACAGAGGGACCCTGTCTTGAAGAACCAAAAACAAATAAGGAATAATCATACTTCGTACCTAGTAGGACCAGGTGGTTATAGGACACTTTAAGGAGACACTTTCCTGTAGAGAGTAGAGGTAAGATAGGAGGAAATACTGTCAAGAAAGGCAAGAGGGCTATGGGCAATAGCTCAGTTGGTAGAATTTTTCTAGCTTGTATGAGCCATGAGTTCAATCCCCAACACTGCATAAACCATGCATGGTAGTGTATAACTATAATCTTAGCACTCAAGAGATAGAGGCACGAAAATAAGGAGTTCCAGGTCATCATCTTCAGCTGCATAGTGAGTTTGGGGCCAGCTCTGGACTTCAAAAGGCTCTGACTTAAAAACAAGCAGAGGGGAGGAGTTGCTTATCCTGGAGAGCTGGATTGGGTTGGATTCTGTTCCCCAACTCCTGGGAGTCTTTAGGTGATGTCATCATCTTTCTCCTTTCTGTCATGGTGTAGCAGTGGAGAATGAGTGGTCTAAGCCTCATACCCGTCATCAGCTTCCTGGCTGTGTTACTCTGGGCAGGTTACTCTCTCCCTTTATGCCTCAGTTTCCTTGTTTATATAATGGAGCAAAACAGATCCCTTCCTCCCAAGGTTTCTGCTTGTTTGAGCTGTTGCGCATCCCTGACTCTGCCTGGCGTTCAGTAAAGTTCAGCGAGCGAGCAGGATGACTGCTGCTCTTAAGGTCAAGCTCTTACTGAGCCCTGTTTACATAAAGACCTCTGGCAAGTACGACTTAAAACCATGAACCCTCTTTGAAGAACTTACGATAGCAGTTGTGAGGTAGGATGTGAGAAGTCTGAGAGACAGCAGTGGGAGAACAGGGAGATGGTTATGAGAGAAGAAATCACATCCTGTCAAGAAGAGAAGGGAAGGCTTCATGAAAGATGTGACTTTGGCCAAGTTCTGGCAGGTAGAGATAGGAGGCCGAGTGGGGAGCTAGGCCTCCTTGCTCTGGGCATTACTCTTTGCTTCCTGGAGCTCTGGCTTCCTGTGGAAGATATCAACTCACTTGGATCTGAGGACTCAATAGATTCTGACCATTTCCTTGAAGCAGTAATCTTGGCTATGCATTGCTTTGGGACTTGGCTTCTCTGCAGTCAGACCTAAGAGTACCCCAAAGAGGAGCAAAATATGTGTCCCTTGCTCTCTCTGTGAACTGGTGTCCCAGTCATGCCAGTTTCCTGTGGCTGTATGGTCAAGGATGAAGGAAGACACACCTCAGGTGTGCAGCGAGCCTTTCTTAATTACACCTACTGCTGTTACTGTTTTATTTTAAAATATTTTCATTACATGTATTTGTGTGTGCACACACGTGTGCATATGTGCCTATGCCATAGCATGTGTGTGTGGTTATGGACAAGAGAATAACTGGGAGTTGATTCTCGACTTCTACCATGTGGGTTCCAGAGATCCCTCAGGTCGTCAAGCTTGTTGGCAAGAGTTTTAGACCCACTTGCTGAGCCTATAATTGGCATTATTTTAATTCATTAGTACCTTGATCACCCACATCATCACTGTCAGCATCATTGTGTTTAGGATTGTTACAAGGACCACATAAGAGAATCCATGTGGAGCTAGCATGGATCAGACTCAGTACACCTCAGCTCAGCCTTCCTGTATCCTTGATTTGGCTTTCCAGTTGCAGTTACCTATGATCAACTATGATCCAAATTTCTGGAAGATTCCAGAAATAAGCAACTAATAAATTTTAAATTGCATGTTGTCTGAGTAACACTATCAGATTTCTTGCCATCCTGCTCCATCCCACTCAGGACATGACTCATCCGCATATCCACACAGCATACGCTACTTGCCCGTTAGTCACTTAGTGGCCTTCTTGGTTATCAGATTGATCAGCTGCTGTGGTGCCTCAATGCTTTCTCCCCCTCTCTGTTCCTTCCACTTCAGCTTCTGCCTCCACCTCTGAAGGGCTGGGATTACAGGTGTGCCAAACACCTGTTTCAGTTGTGGGGTTTGTTTATTTTTATAATTCTAAGGATTGAACCCAGGATCTTCTACATGCTTAGACAAATTCTATAACAATGAACTGTATGCCCCCAGTCCTTGGGTTTGGAGACACTGTCTCAGTATGTAGCCTAGCCTGGCCTTGAACTGGTACTCCTCCTGTCTCTAGATCCTGATCACAGGAATTACAGACATGGCCACTATACCTACCTTTGTAGTGCTTTTGTGAAGTGTTTGGTACTATCTGGAATTTCATGTACATCAATTAAGAGTCTTCAAATACCCCCCCCCTTAGATAAGGAAGGTCTATTGCTACTCAGAACAACTCATTCTGTAGGCCAGACTAGCCTTACACTCAGACATCTGCCTGCCTCTGTCTCCTGAATGCTGAAATGAAAGGCATGTGCTACACTCTCCCCCTAAATTCTTAACACCCTAACTCAATGAAATATCTGTTCCAAAGGAAGGAGACCAAGGTTTAGCTAAAAACGTACATTTAAATTCTAGTGTGCCTTCACTGGTTTAAGGTGCTTAAACCCCACCCTACCCCCCGCCCCAGTCTCATTTCTTCACCAGGAACAGGTAGTCTCGTGTCCAAATTTCCTATGACTTGCTGTGTTAATTTAACAAATTGCCAGAAATGCCTAGATGGTGCCTAAAAGCTAAAGGAATATGAATAGCCAGGTAGCCAGAGCTAGAACAGATGGCTGATGACTTTTGTTTACTTTTGTCTCATTTAGATCATCAGAAACTAGAACGGGAGGCCCGGATATGTCGACTTCTGAAACATCCAAACATTGGTGAGTGGCCGGCGGAGTCAGCATTTCATAGAAGGCAGGGAGGACAGAGGTTGGCTTTGTGTTTGTGAAGTTACCTCTGGTCATGGAACTTCACCTGGTATCTTATTTGCCTGAATAGGACACTGGCTGTGTGTCAGAATTCTAGGGCTTTGTTTAGAGACCTGGCTGCTTCCTTGGCTATGGTGCCATCTCAGGGATGGGGTGTAAGGTTTTTGAATGTTTTAGACTCTCTTTCTCCTTCTGTCTTTGGGCTGACATTCAAAGTCCTCAGTGTGTGAGGTTCCGGGCTACCAGTCTGCCAGCGTCCCTCACCAGAGTCATCCATAGCCTTCATGAAAGGCTCAGGATTTTGTTCCTGAACCTAAAAGCGTTTTGTCCCTTTTGCAGTGTCCTGCACACTCTGGGGGTTTCCATGGCACTCCTGTTTGTGTTACTCAGAGCCAGGGAAGCACATTGCCTGCCTGCTTGGCTTCTCTGGAGAAGGAATGGCAAGGGCTGCTCAGATGAGGAAGGAGAAAACTTGAGAGGATCTCTCCCCACTCCCACCCCGGCTGGGGTACAAGAGCACATTGTTGGTTGTTCTAAAGCCTGAGAGACTCGCCTACCATAGCCCACTCTGGCTCAGTTTTACATTGTTCAGCTGAAATAGTCTTTGCCAAAAGTGTTGGCCCTGATCTCTTGCTCCTTACAGAAGAGACAGAATCTGGGCTGACTGCAGTGTTTGAGAAGAAACCCCAGCGTTGACTTGAGGCAGGGAACATCTCCTAGGTTTTCCTGAAATCTCTGAATCGTCACAAAAGACAACATGTGTTCTCCTCAGACATGGCCTGAATATCAAGGCTCCCATAGTGCCCCAGAGGCTGCCTGCTTAGCTCTTGGTGGCTAGGGCTGAGAGGTTACTAGCTGAAGCAGCTTGATGGTGCCTCTAGCATACCCAGCCTCTGGTTTCCCAGATCTCAGGGCTCAGTGTGAGCCTTTATGCGGAGGAGCTGAGGTCGAGCTCCAGCCCACTGAGAGAAGAGCAGCCCTGAGGTAACCAGAACTCCAACCATGCAAGGCTTTATAGATCACAATCAGCAACTTGGATTACACCTGAAGCTGATTGGCATCACCAGTGCTCTGCTTTGCCTGCTGCAGTGCGTTTCACAACACCAGCATCCTTAGCCAGGGAGGTTTGATGGCCTGAGAGCTACAGGAGCTCCTGGGTAGCCTTCAAGGTTAGACTTTACTTGAAAAACACAGCAGGGACCAGTATGCTGCCATGGATAGAGGGCAACAGAGAAAAACACTAGAAAAACAGTCAGGAAATGAAGCATGTTCAGTCACAAAATTTGGCTAGTTCAGTGATATAAATGGTATTTTTATTACCTGCAAATATTAAAAAATGAAATTTCACATGTTGAACCAAAAGGCTTGGCTCTAAAACTACCTACTGCCCACCATTGGGGAAGGAAGCATACACCTTTAATCGCATTACTTAGGGGACAGAGGCAAGCAAATACCTATGAATTTGAGGCCAGGGTGTCATAGATCCATTTCTCTTAAAAATAATAATTAAAAAAACAAAAACAAAAGGATAGTGAGCTCCAGGCCTGCAGAGCTATAGAGTAAGACCTTGTCTCAAAACAAAAGGGAACCAAAACCAACTAAAGCTATCTACTAGCTCAGGCAGTGACTTCCCTTTGTATTTCTTGTGATCAGCTCAGATAACAATGATGAATTGTGTGGAGGGGGACGGGGGGCTGGGGTCAGAGAGAGAGGAAGCTGACTGACCTCTCTTCATCTGGGGCATTCTGGGTTGACCATGAGAAGATGAGGCTATAAGAATCACAACTGAGAAGCCAACAAGCTGGGTGACGGGGCCTAGCCTAAAATGTGCCTAGCCTTCCTTGTATTATTCATAGAAATATGTTTATATAGTCCATGACCTCTCACTTTGTGTGGTTTAATACCTTTCCCCCTCTGCACTTAGCTCAGAATAAAGGCAGATGGAGGAGCCATGCATTCCCTCTGCCTAAACTATTGGCGAGCTGTAACACCCAGGATAAGCATGGTAAAGTCACTTTGGTGACTTTTTAGAGTGCCAGAAAGTGTTCCTCCATTTTATGGCTGCTCATGTGTCCTGAGGCATATGTTGGTCTGAAGACCAATTCCAGGGTTAAGAGTAGGCAGAAAGAAGGGCAAGCCAGGACTATGTTCTGAGAGCGTCGTCTGGCTGAACTCTCTGGCTCCTGGTGAGAACCAGGACTCTTGGAGATGTGGTTGAGCTCTTGGTCCAGGAGGCATGGTTGCCATGGATCCAAACCTGGCTTGTGGCTGAGAGGAGACTGTGCCCTTAATTCACTGTTCCTCTCTCCACTGCTATGTCCTCAGTCCTCAGACCGTTTAGTTCTGGCCTTTAAAACTCCATGCAAAGGGAGATATGCATCCTACCCAGTAGTTGCACAATTAAAAAGATCGACAGCAGAGATCAGATTTTCAGCCTCTTGGCTGTTGTCAGACTTGGTAGTGTTGAAGTTCATAAGCATTTGGTGCAAGAAGCCAGGCAATCTGAGTTTTCCCCCAGTACATATTCTGTGCTGAGTTAGAATCTGTTGGGAGAGTGAACCCTAATGTAAACTGTGGGTTCTGAGTAATGGCGTGTCCTTGTAAGTCCATCAGTGATAACAAATTCTGGTGTGGGATGTTCATAGTGGAGAATCTGTGCATGGGAGTTGGGGTATCTGAACCTTCTGTTCAGTTTTGCTGTGAACACAACATTGTTATTAAAAAATAGAATCAATTAAAAATAAGCAAACAATGACTATTTGGATGTAAGGTACACTGTTGAACTCAGAGAGTGCTGGGAGAGTGGCTAGTTGTAGGGAGTTATGCGGAGGATCTGAAGTCTGAATGGAGTGCGTGCTACCTGTGATCTGCTTGCTCTCTGTTCTAAATTCCTCTAATGAATAGACTGTCTTCTTGCATGCTGAGCTGCTCCAGCAGTTCCGATCACAGCCTAGCGTTTGTGGTTTAAAGCAGCACTTCTCAAACTTTTATGTGCTTATGAATCAGCCAGGGATCGTGTCAGAATTCAGATCCTGATTCAGTAGGTCTTGGCGGGTGGGGGCGAGGGAGTGGAGGCTGAGACGTCTTCCAGCTTCAAGGTCTCCAGGTGATGTCCATGCTTTGATCTGTGGTCCATCAGTTTGTGACTTTTCAGTCAGGTTCACTGGATTTGGATTCTGACTTCCTATTTAGAGGCTGTCACTCGAGCAAATTATTTAACCCTACATGTCTGCCTGCTTTGTCCTTTGTGTCCCTTTGTGAAGTCAGCAGAAGGTTCTAAAAGGAAGATACTGGGAGTTGGAGAACATAAACAGGCAAGCAGAGATTCTGAATCCCAGCTCCCCTACCCTTGCCCCAGCTCAGCTGTTAAATTATTCAAGCCTGGCCACAGTAAACCTTGAGCTCAGGACCCATTCAGCTGATAGTAAATGTAGCAAAAGCAATTGCAAAGAAAAAGGAAACATTGTGACTGAGCTCTCCTTAATCTTTCCTCCATGTTGGGAAGGCTGAGACCTGCCACAGCTGCCTTAGGGGGACAAACTGAGTTCTGTCTGAGATCCCTCTAGTAACAGCTCATTCCTGCTGGGTTATTATTGAGGACATTTGAAAAGCATACCTTATTTTAATTTTAAATTTGTATTTGTGTTCATGCAGGGGCAATGTGAATTCAGGTGTCCTCCTAGGCTTGAGGCATTGGATTCTCCACAGACGGAGTTTCAGGAGTTACAGGCAGTTGTGAGTTGCCCAGGGTGCCTGTGAGAACCAAACTCAGGTCCTCTGCAAGAGCGGTTGACACTCTCAGCTGCTGAGAGCCAACTGTATAGCCCCAGTTATAGACATTTTTAATAGATGCTTTTTCAATATTGTTTGTTGTTGTTGTTGTTATTGTTTTGAGAAAGACTTTTAAAGTAAATATGGCAGATTGTTGGTAATTTTTGAGGAATTGGAAATAGCCACTCACATAATTTAGGTTGTAGATTTCTTCATCCATGAGAGTGTATAATGGTGAGTAAGCCTTCTGTAGGTCGGTCCCTTTCCCACTGGTTTAGAGTACAGTAATTAGGTTTATTGCTGAACTGCAGTTGTGATTTATGCTTCTTCTCCAAGATTTCCTGTCTGTAGACTTGGTTTGGTCATCTTGGCCTTTGTGCCTTGTAATTACCATGAAATGGGCTGGGTGTCTGATGACATTATTTCATGTGTCCATAGTACCATTTATGTAACTAGTTACATATTTGTATAATTGTTAGTTAGAGCCTATCTTCTTCTTCATGGGGTAAGCTCTGTAGTGGCAGGCCCTGGCTTCTCTTCACAGCTGTATATAAAACAGCGTCTGCCTCAGGGTAGCCAACCTATGAATATGTTGAACCAATTAGAACAGCCAGAGCCAGCAGGGACAGAATGGAACTTCTTTAACTAAGAGGATGGACAAAATGTCGTTCTGTCATAGGAAGCATCTTGATATTAGTTTGCCAATTTCGTGGCTTCAAGTTCTGCTGTGTAGTGTGACTTTGAACATTTTTTTTTTAGCCTGTTTCCTCTCCCTTTGGTGGGAATGTCATACATAGTTGTCTGATAGAGTTAAAGTGGGGTTTCAGTAAAGTCCCCTCATAAAATACTTCACGTGGGCTGGGAACGTAGCTCAGTTGTTACAGAGCTTGCCAGTCATGAACAAGACACTAGGTTCAGTCCCTAGCACTGCGTAAACGAGTTGTAGCTGTGCGTGCCCATAATCTCAGTGCTCAGGAGGAGGAGAAAAGGTTCAAAAGTTCAGTGTTATCCTCAGCTACGCAGTGAGTTCAAGGCCTGCCTTGGTTACATGAGATGCTATCTTACACGGTGGTTGGCACATAGGAATAGCTTAATTAAATAGTAGTCACTTTAATTTAATCAAGAATTGGCTGTGCTTAACATGGCACAGTTAATTTTCTCTTCCTTGTCCTTAGTTCTTATTAATTTTCTTTACAAATTAAAAAAGAAAAAAGATAGCAGTGTCATTCAGAGCCCCCTTGTCTTGGCATGCTGGTGCTTGGGGCTTACATCAGAACCTTCAGGGCAGGGTGGCCTGGAAGGATTAGCTTTCACTCCTCTGCTAATCCCCACCCACCTGCACTCAGTGTGTGGCCTTCCTCCAGAAGGGCAAAGGCCTGGGTGTCTGTGCCTCTGGCCCTGCTCCTAGACCTGAAGTGCTGGGAGGGTTGGGGGTAGAGCATTGGGAGGAGGTTGTCCAGGTGAGGCCAAGCCCAGCAAGGCAGGGCACCTGGGCTCCCTTGGGAGTGGTTGTTAGCATCCTACCTGCTGTCCTGTCGGCTCAGCACCTTGTTACTGTTAGTCAGCTCCCTAATGAAACTGGTCTTTGGCTTCTGGGACAGCTGATTTCCAGGGGATTATTTGTATTACACACTTTAATGCTTTTTAATAGCAATTTTTTTAATTAAATGGAAAGTCCTTTTGGAGGCAAGGGAACAGCCACAGCAGGACTCAGGATGAGGCACTGACTGAGACCAGGGAAGTGAAGTGAGGGGGAAGAGGGAAGGCTATGGGGAGCTTGCTTTGGGAGGGCAGCAGGTGATCTAACTGTGGCTCTTCATCCTAAGAGCCTTCCCCTGCCATTTGCACACTAGAGAAGTGAGGAGGCTTGCAGAACCAGATGAGGTCTACAGGATGGCAGTGTGGCTGTTAGCCCTCGATCCGGCCCAGCAGGCCTCTGAGTCCTCATTCCTCGTGTGAGAAAGGGAGCTGTGATGATGTTCAGTACCTTGTGGCAGCCGAGTTGGTATTTTGCTTTCTGGCTGTTCTTGCTTCCTTGGTTGAAGGGGACACAGGAAGTGCCCAAGCCCTTTAGGGATGCTTTAGCACTGGAAAGGGCAGCAGTGTGGGCCTGCCAAGGAAGTGGCACCATGATTTTTTTCTGCCCAAGTACTTCACCAGTTGCTTTGTTGTCAGGCCATTCCTGAAATGCTCTGGAAGGTTTTCCTGTAACTGCTAAGGACTGGAGCAGAGGTGAAAGGCACGAAGGGAGTCCTTTGAAACCAAAGGTTCCCTGTAGGACGAGTTGGGTGAGGGCAGAGACAAGAACACCCACAAAGGTAGCCAGCGCAAATCCTGATTGTATTAGAGTGATCTCAGGGTTGGCATTTAACCCAGGGTTAGCTTTGTAGTCAGAGTCAGAAGACATCAGGTTGGTCTTTTGCCCAAGAGCCATAGAGGCAGGCATTGAAAAGGGTTGTGCTTGCCAGCCTTTTCCTTGCACTTGATGAACTGAACTGCCTTCTCTGTCTGCTGCCCTCTTGGACACATCTATAATACTGTTGTAGGCACACTGGTGAGTACTCACTCATTGGCTCTGTTTGCTATGTGGGCTGACCACATATCTTATAGGTTGTGGTCGAGTGGACTAGCTCTTGGAGTCTGGTTACCAGTGTAACTATTTAACCTTTGCTGAGAAACCAAAGCCTCTATGGTTCTGTTCTGTAAAATGGAAGTAGCAGTCATCTCAGGACAGTGAAATAAACTCCTTGAACACTCTGTCCTTCCTAAATGCCATAACCTAGCCTAGGATCTGGCACGTTGTATTGCTCAAGATATGCATATAAGATCACTAGTGTATGACATAAGTCTACCCCAAGGCTGGCACACAGTATACACTGAATAAATGGTTATTATGACAGGGTATGTTGGTACATGCCTGTAGTCCTAGTATTCCAGATAATAAGACAGAAGGATTGCCATAAGCTCTAGGCCAACTAGGCTACATAGCAATATTCTGTCTCAAAACTAAGTAAGGGCTAGGCATAGTGACATACTGCCCCTATAATCCCCAAACTGGAGAGGGCAGAGGCAGGCAGATCTCAGTTAGTGTGAGGCCAGTCTAGTCTTCATCACAAGTTCTAGGCCAGCCAGGGCTATATAGTGGGACTCTGTCTCAAAAAATAAAGGGAGAGGAGAAAGTGTGCCTCAGTGGGAAGTGTGGCTCAATAGGTAGTGTTTGCCTATATCCATGAAGTCCTGGATCACCCAGCACCACATTAACTAGGTGTAATGACATATATATGTGTGTGTGTGTGTGTGTGTGTGTGTGTGTGTGTGTGTGTGTGTGTGTGTATGTGTATGTATATGTATATGTGTATGTGTATGTATATGTTATTCTAGCATTTGAGAGATAGAGGCAGGAAGATCCCAAGTTCAGGATTATCCACAACTGTATATTGAGGTTGAGGTTGTATATACAAACCTTGTCTCAAAGCAGTTGCTGTATTGGTTGCCTGAGTATGTGTGTGGCCTGCTCCACATGCTTTTCTGATGGTTCCACCTTTTCCCAAACCCTTTCATCCTCCCGCTCCCACTTGCTCCTCTGAAAGAGCTGCTGGGCTCTCACATCTTGTCTGTGTCTATTCCTGTGCCACACATCGTGTCTTAGGTGCACCTTCTGTGGGACTAGCCCCTCAAGAGGTTCTTGCTTTTCTCCATCTGACTGATTTTCTGGGCCACGAAGCTTCTGTCTCTTGCCTTGGTCTGCAGTGGAAACCAAGCACTAGTCTCTTGCTGTGGCTGTGTACCCGTGGCCCAAGGGGTACTGGGCACATGGCCACTTTTCTCTGCAGCATCTTCAGAAGCAAGCCCTGTGAGGCTGACGAGATGGGGCTAGGTGGGGGTGCTATAGAGAATAGGATTTCTGAGTTCTTTTCCGCTAATCTCTGTTCCCATCTCCTCTCTTACAGTGCGTCTCCATGACAGTATTTCTGAAGAAGGGTTTCACTACCTCGTGTTTGACCTGTAAGTGCCACTTTCTGAGGGTATGGGGACCTTTCTCTCCACCTGACAGAGGATGAAAGCTTGGGAAAGACTAACCGAGGCCTTTGGCCTCTGCCAAGGGCTTCTTCCCATTGCTTGAGGAAAAGGACTGGTGAAGTTTCTCCGGGGATGAGTGTGCCTGCCCCAAGCCACACCCCCTCAGCGTCTCATTGTTCTGTCTCCTAGAGCCTGAGCCCCAGGGTGGCCTTGCTCCCACCTTTCTGTTCGGTGCATAACTTGTGCAGATGTTTGTTTCTTGTTTCTTGGTGTGTCTCCCTTATTGGAGAAATAAAATAATGACTCTTTGTATGTCCTTAAAAATTCTGGGAAGTTGGAAGTAGCTTTTAGGAGTCACAAACTGTGTTCCATTTGTCTCTCTTCCACTTTGGTTGTTCTTTAATGTCTTAGGAGTGGCTCTTTACTTCCTGGAAAGCCCTGTTGAGTATTGTCTTGTTTGAGCTTCTGTGTCTATAATCTCATTATTCTTCAACTCTAGCACTAGGTCTGCCTTTGCACTGCCGTGGATAATGTCCATAATGGTCTTAGGGAAAGCTCTGACTTTTGTAGTTAGAATATTTTTCATGGATCCCTTATATCTTCATCACTTTCTGAGTGTTAGTGATGCTGTTAGGTTACGGAGCCAGAACTGTCAGGAAGGAGGGGAGAGCCCATGGTAGCCCATGGAGAACTCCTGTGCCATTGAAGGATGAACATGTTCTGGGCTCCCAAAGTACATGGGGAGTTGGGATGGCTCTAGAAGCTGTTTTACTGTATGACTGTTACCTGCTGGATAGTGGAGTTGGCCAGTGGGCCCCACTTCTTCTGACCATTTCTTCTGTTGTTTACAGTGTTACCGGAGGGGAGTTGTTTGAAGACATTGTGGCCAGAGAATACTACAGTGAAGCTGATGCCAGGTAAGACGAATCTTGGTTATTTGAGTGAAGCCCTTTGAGTTAGGATTGAAATAAGTCCTGGCTCTGTGTGTGTGTGTGTGTGTGTGTGTGTGTGTGTGTGTTTGTGTGTGTGTGTGTGTGTTATTTGAGTAGTCTTTGGACTCTTGTCTGAACAAGAGCCTGTAAAGATGTGGTAGGGCTGCACTCTGTGCATAGTATCAGAAGTTAAATATTCAACACGCCTAGATTAATTTATTTCAAAGCCTCTTCTAGGTGGTCTTTATCCTGTCACCCTCCCAATACCATTTCTCCACTATTATGTACTCACAAGCATGCCCAGTGGTCCCGTTCTGTACCTCTTCCTTCTCTTGACAAATTCTAGTGTGTACAAGGTCCTTACATAGGGTCCTGGGGATCAGAGATAGGGAAAGCATCATTTTTGTCCTGAAAGGTATGAAACTGGAGAGCTTCCTCTGGAACTTTCAGCCTTTGTCGCTTTGTCACTTTGTCACTTTACCACCATGACCAGCTCAGCATGAGGACGTGTCTCCATTAAAGCCAGTGGCTCTCCTGTGACAGCATAGTCCACCTGCATCGAGGTGCTCAGGTGCCAGTGTGGCCTGCTTTGCCCACCTTCTCTTTTCCCCTTCACAGCCTGATTTTTGTTATCCTGCCTACAGCTTCTCTGGCTCAGGCTGCCTCTAGAGAGAGGGGGAGTGCCGCTTCCTCACGAATTTCTCAACCCTGAACAGCCGATGTTTGCTGATCAACTTCAGATGCCTCAGCCTGGGGAAAAATTCTCAAGTGGAGAGATGAATTCCAGTGCCAGCAGGGGAGGACCAGGCTGTGGGTGGGAGGAGGCAGGATAGCTCAGGGAGCTTGGGGGTGGGAGGACTGTACCAGTGGGCTTGGCCTGGCTCTGCTGGGACACTTCACACTTTTGCCATTTTTGGCCAGAAGGCTCTCCCTGCTAGCTGGGCTCTGTTCTAATTATACATTTCTGTGGAGACTCGCCTCTGAAGCTCAGTCTTAAAGATCCTTTGGCAAACTGTTGGGCTCTATGCTGTAGGAGGCCCTGAGTCCCAGTGTCCAGGTCTGATGACATCCATTGACCCCTTGACTCTCATTGGCGCCTCAGTACCAGATTTCAGAGAAACAAACTGTAAGTGCAGGCTACATAGGCTGGCACACTTGGATCTTCTGCAGGTCTGCCCTGCACACCTGCTGGCAGCTGCTGACTCGGCACATACCAGCATTCTTCAGCCTCAATGGTACTGACCTTTAGCACAGATAATTTTTTTGTTATGAAGGTCTCTCCTATACACAAAGAGAACTTAGAAGCATACCACTCAGCAGAGCTCTAGTAGAGTCCCCCATTCCAACTTGTGCCAACCAGAATTATTTCTAGACATTGCCAGATGTCTCTTGGAGGGTACACTCACCCTCCAAGTGAGTGGAAACTATAGCTCTGGAGAACTCAAATCTGCTGCCAGGAATTTGACTATAGGACTAGCAAGGTGGGCAGTGTGCTTTAATAAACGGGACCAAAATAGGGTTCTGAGCTAGGTTGGCTTTTTCTGTGCAAAATCATTAGAAATGCTATGTAGACATCCTATTTAGAGCACTTTTAAATATATTTCTAGAAGGAATCTATGTGCTTCTTTTCTCTTCCTACTAGATGAGAAACTTTAGCGCAGTTAATGTCTTAGGTAGTATAAGAAAACACTCAGTAAATGTTTGAACAAGTGCAGGCCTGTGCCCGCTGGTGCTGTCTTCCCAGGTTACCACATAAGCTGCTCTAAGAAAAAGTTTGCTTATGAGGAAAGAGAAGGAAGGGGTTGGAGGGTCTCACCTTCCGTAGGAATACTTTAGCATCTTTCAATCCCTAGAAAACAAATTCTAGCCTTTGCCTTAAGGTTTTGTCACGCTGGAGAGCCCACATAACTTTACCTGGGGCTCACTTTCCATCCCTGTGGAGAGTGTTGATGAGGAGGGAAGAGAGCTCCTAGCAGAATGTCATGACACACAGCCGTAATGCCAGCAGTCCTGAAGCTGAAGTAGGAAGATCATGAACTCAAGGCCAGCCTGGGTCACATAGCAGGTTGCAGGTCAGCTTATGCTACATAGCAGGAAGACTCTCCTTCAAAGCAGGAAAAGGAAAGGAAGGAAGGAAGAAAAAGGAACCTTTATATACTGTTGGTATTGTAAATTACTATAGCCATTTTTGGAAAACAGTATGGATGTTTCTCAGAAAAACTAAAAATAGAAGTACCATATGATCCAGCAATCCCACTACTGGGTAAATACCCAATGGAATTAAAATCAGGATGTTAAAGAAATGTCTGTACACCCACGTTCATCACAGCATTATTCACAATAACCAAGATACGGAAACAACTTGAGTGTCCATTAGCAGATGAATGGATTTAAAAAGTGTACACCACTGAGCCCTAAAAAGGCTGGGGAATTCTGTCACTTATGTCAGGATAGGTGAGCCTAGTTGACGTTATGTTCAGTGAGACAAGCCAGGTACAGGAAGACAAATACCACATGGTCTTACTTACATGTGGAATCTAAAAAGGATGATCTCATGAGGTAAAGAGGAATGGTGGCTAGCAGAAGCCAGAATGGGTGGGTGTAGGTGAGGAAAAGAGAGTTGGTGGTCAGATGGGAGGAATGGGTTCCCACATCTTACTTAAGCACATCAGGTGATTATGCTTTGCAATGTTTTGGTTGGTTGGTTGGTTGGTTGGTTGGTTGGTTGGTTGGTTGGTTGGTTTGGTTTAGCTTTTTCAAGACAGAGTTTCTTTATGTAGCCCTGGGTGTTCTGGAATTCACTCTGTAGATCAGACTGGCCTTAAACTCAGGGAGCCACCTGCCTTTGTCTCCTGAGTGCTAGGATTAACTGTGTGTGCCACCTACATCTGGCAATGTTTTAAAATGTACAGAAAAGGATTTTAAATGTTCTCACTAGAAAGAATAAACATTTGAGATGAGGTATATGGTGGTATACCTGTAGCAGACGATCACATTGTCCATCAGAAGTCAATAGTTATTTTTCAGTTTAAAAAATAAAAACAAAATGGGTTGAGCTGGATAACATCCGAAGCCCAGGGTTCTAGCTTCTTTTTCGGAGAGTGTGGTCCACACTGGCAGTGGTTGGTGAGGTGATTTACCACTGCACTGATATTGCTTTTGCTGCTCATTTCAGTCACTGTATACATCAGATCCTGGAGAGTGTTAACCACATCCACCAGCATGACATTGTCCACCGGGACCTGAAGGTACTCAACCAGACTGACTGCCTTTGCCTCCTGCTTGTGACTTGTTGGCGCCACCTGGTGCTAGGTAGTGGTACTGTGTCAGCCCAGAGTAGGCTCCCTTTGGGTTCCAGGAGGGATGCCTCATAAGGTTCTCCTTGTTCCTTCTGCAGCCTGAGAACTTGCTGCTGGCAAGTAAATGCAAGGGTGCTGCGGTCAAGCTAGCTGATTTTGGCCTGGCCATCGAAGTACAGGGAGAGCAGCAGGCTTGGTTTGGTAAGGGTGACCCTGTCTTCCGAGAATGCAGCCTCCGCCCTTCCTCCTTTTCCTGGTCTGCCTTCCTCTTTCAGAACTAGAAGTCAGGCCTTTAATGGTCCTGGCCTTTTCAGAAAGTGAGGGGGGTGGGGGGGGCCGGGCACTGAGGCCCTCATGAGTCAGTACAGTGGGTCTGGCTGCTGTCAGCACTGCATTCTTATTGCCTCTGGGGAGGTGTTTGAGTTCCTGGTAGGCACAAGTACTTGCCCTCTGATTTAGATTCCAGGCACTGCACACAGCCCAGCCTGTCATCTTTTGCAGCCTGGATGCTGAGAGCTTATATAGTAAAAGCAACCGGCATTAGAAGGGCTTTGGAGGAAGTTACAGATGTGGACTTATTGGGAGAGAGAGTGGGTTCATTTTGGCTCTCCCCTCTCTTCTGCTACAGGTTTTGCTGGCACCCCAGGTTACTTGTCCCCTGAGGTCTTGAGGAAAGATCCCTATGGAAAACCTGTGGATATCTGGGCCTGCGGTAAGCCCATTTCACACACTCAGCTCTTTGATGTTATGGGCCCCGGCTTCCTGTGATGACAAGAAAAGAGGCATGCATTCATTCCTTCTGGGTTCCACAAGTGCCTACTATATGTGAGATCATGGTGCTTGCTCTCCCTCCCTTATGAGAGCTGTTTCTGTCATGCCCTCCTCCCATGTAACTGCCTGGATTATGTTACATCCTTCTTGGAGAAGGACTTGTCCACACCTTAAAGGATAGACCAAAGAAGGCTCTGACACAGCTTGGTGCCGTAAGGAGTGAGGCACAGCAGGAGGAACTAGTGGTACAGCGTTATCCACTGGCACCCACCTTTAATTCTGGCCTGGCCTTGCCTTTCTGGGTGGTTCTGAGCCCTGCATGGCCTTTCTTGGTTCCTCAGGGGTAGGTGACTGACCCCAGTGACCTGTGTGTTCTGTCTCGCAGGGGTCATCCTGTATATCCTCCTGGTGGGCTACCCTCCCTTCTGGGATGAGGATCAGCACAAGCTGTATCAGCAGATCAAAGCTGGAGCCTATGATGTAAGGATGGGTTTTCTGAGAGCTGAGCAGTCACTCCTGGAAGGACAGATTCCCTGCCCCTAAGGGTCTGTCCAAGGGAGTAGTGTTACTATCATTTGATAACAGGGCGTCAGGGGACTTTGAGGACCCAAGGATGGGCATACAGGACTCAATTCTTGCCACCTTATATACAGGGAACAGATTTTTTTTAAAAAAATGCTCCTGTTAGCTATAAAATTAAGGAACTCAAACCCTTTGGTCTATTTCCACAAAGAATAGGGAAACTACTCTGTGTGTTATAGCATAGAGGGAGGATTTTAGAGGCTTCCTCCACTGCTTTGGTTCCTCGGGCACATTGCAAAGCCTGTTTGCTCCTTAGAAGAGAAAGAGAAAGGTGAAGCAGAAAATGTCAGCACTCCCTTCCTTCACTGATTGGATACATTAGCACTCTAACACTTACTATTCTGTCTTCCTTTCCGGGCCTTTAAATTGACACAGTGTATCCAACTCTTGGGTACCACAAAGCATCCCAGTTATAAGAGTTGAAATCGGACTTCGTTTCAGGGTAGAAGGCTCACAAATTTCCTGTCTCCCTTTCCCCTGTTCCCGCTCCTCAGTTCCCATCACCAGAATGGGACACGGTCACTCCTGAAGCTAAGAACTTGATCAATCAGATGCTGACCATAAACCCTGCAAAGCGTATCACGGCTGACCAGGCGCTCAAGCACCCATGGGTCTGTGTAAGTGTCTTTTCCCTGGTCTTGGAGATTGGGGGTGGCAGCCCTGGTGTACTCCTTGCACTTCTCACACAAGGATTCAGGAGAGGGGCAGAGGGAGGGGTGAGTGGAGTCCAAGATCAATAAATGTCATCGGGGGACTTGAGAGTTAAAAAGTGCTCATGGGTCTTTACTTAACTCTCATACATCTTGTTGTGAGGCTGTAATTCAGTTCTGTTCTTGAATTAGAAGAGGTAGTTGATGGTGGAAAACAGCTGATACCCCAATGTGAAGTCCCAAGCTTGGGATGTACGTTGGCCTCAACTCTGACAAGGACCCAGTGAGTGAACAAAAGAGGCTTCTGAAGTATAAAGCAGCTCCTGAAGCTCAGCCATGGACCTCTCAGCTGAGGTCCGAGGAGCTCCTCCTAGGCCATCAGTGTAGGCTGATACACTGTTTCCATTCACCGTTCTGTCAAGCCGAAACAGCTCTTTTCAGACAAAGGAAAGGGTCTGGTATAGTATAGCATCCTGAACTATGATGTGTTTGTCATTTCTCATGTTTATTGAATGTGTTTTTGTGCTGGTCACCAGACAGTCCTGGAGATGAATGGGGCCGTGGTCTTTGCCCCAAAGATTTAGGGAACAGGCATTCAAACAAGCAACCATGACTATAATCCGACAAACACATTCAGGAGTGTCTACTGCCCCGCATAGGCATTAGGGTCACAGAAGTTTTTGTGGAGAAGGTGATCTACCCAGGTGTTACCCTGCAGACAAAGGTTAATGCGGAAAAAGTGAGAGGCCACAGGAGATGGTCACCTGTAAGGAATGTTAAGTAGCTTGGTTTACCATGACTGGGATTGCAAACAAATGAGGAAAAAAAAAAAAAAAGATTGCAGAATGTCAGGGAAGGAAGGTAGCACATGCTTTTAATCCCAGCACTTTGGAGGCAGAGGCAGGTGGATCTCTGATCTCTGAGTTTGAGGCCAGCATGATATACAAAGAAAGTTCCAGGACTGCCAAGGCTACTCAGAGAAACCCTGCTAGAAAAACCAACCCCAGAAGATTGTATGTCCTACCAGCTTCTGCCTAAAGAGTTGAGGTTTATATTCTAAGTGTAGAGTTTTAAGGAGAGTATGCTATTTGCATTTAACATCGTGTTGGAAGCTCTACAGAAAATGGAATTGCTGAGGCTGGAGGGAGAGAGGCAAGAAGCTGTCACAACTGTCTAAGGAAGGCCAGATGAGGTCTTAGCTGAGGGGGAAGATGGAGTATTGGGTGGTGCTGCCAAATTCCAAGAGACTGAAGGATTTAATGTCTGGAGTAAGAAGTGAGGGGAGAGGAGAGGGCAAGTGGATGGGTGCCTTTCGGTCGGTTTCATTGGTCAGGAGCAGATGGCAGCACACTTCACAGACTGTGTTTGTGTTTTGTGGGCACTGAGTGTGACGTTAGACTAGATTGTGTTTTGTGGACACTGGGTGTGGCGTTAAAGAACCAGCAGCTTGAGGCACCTGGGCAATAAGAAATATGGCTGTATGGTCTGGGCATGTGGTTTAATGGTAGGCTGCTTTATTAGCATTCATGAAACCCTAGGTTTCAAAAAGAGGGGATGGAATGTGGAAGAGAGGGAGCTGTAGAGATGAGAGGTCAGAAATGTGGCCTGTCCTTTCTTCACAAGTGATGCTGAGGATTTGGAAATGTATGAAATTGTTCTTGTCCTGAGCAGATTCCTGTCGTAAGTTTGTGTTGCTTCAGCAAGGGCGGAGCTGCCCGCTAAGTACCAGCGTCTAAGGACACGGAGAGTAATTCTGCCATGCGGAGAGGCTGAGAAGCAGACTGCATAATCAGAGAAGACACAGGAACTAAGGACAAGTGGGCCTTAGTGAGAACAGCAGCAGCCAGATGCTGAATGACTCCTTGACTAACATAGGAAGGAGCCTCTAGCTCTACCCGACGAGAGGCCATGGTTTCATGATTTCACAGCGATAGTGGAGTAGGATGGGGAGGGGAACTCACTTGTCTCCTGATAACTGAGGCTGAGAAGGCGGGAAGCTAGCCAGTGAAGGAGCACATGGCTGATATTCCTTAGAGGAAGAACATGGGTCAGGAAGCTTTGTACATATAAATATTTGTACATATAAATGTTCACTGTTAATTGTGATAATTTGCACATGCCTATACCGTGCATTATTTACCACCCCACACACCTTCTTTCCGGCCTCTAGGAGTCACTAATACTTGTTTTTACTTTTAAGATTTACTTTAACATTTTTATGTGCATGAGTGTCTTGCCTACATGTGTGTAGATGCACCACATGAGGCCCTGGTGCCCTTGGAGGCCAGCAGAGGGCATCGGGTCCCCTGGAACTGGAGTTAGCAGATGGTTGTGAACCACCATGTGGGTTCTGGGAACTGATCCTAGGTCCTCTGTATGAACTTTTTTTTTTTCCATATATATGAGGGAACAAATAGTAAATAATGCCTGTATGTGTATCTGGCCTATTTCACACAATGTAGTGTCCTCCAATTCTAGTGAGTGTTGTTACTGTTGTTATTATTGTTGTTTTTTAAGATTTTGCTTGTTGGAAGTTTGAATATAATGTAAAGATTACAAACGAGAATCTAATGCAGAAAGAGATTGCCTGAAGAAGGATGAGTTTAGAGAGCAAAGGGAGAGCGGAGTTTCTGAGCCGAGGTCAGAGGTCTACCTTGGGTGCGAGGTAGTCACATCTGAGACTTGGGTTAGAATGTAGGTAGGGAAAATCAGTATGGAGGTGGGAACTGAAGCAGAAACAGGGCGTGTGCGGTAGCCTCTTCTCTGTGGGGAATTTTACACACACGCACACGCACACACGCACACACACACAGAGTGGGGAAAAGGTAAAGAAGCTGAAGAGAATTGGTTTGGGAACCAGGCAAGGTGGTGGGCACTCTAGGCCATAGAGCCTAAGCCTAGCATTTACTCTCAACCTGGCTGACTGAGTTAGCAGTCGTAGAGTGATAACCAGCCCTACCCAGGCATGCAAGAACCATAGAAGTACTGACGGTTGGAGGTTGTTTTTATGGCCCACTACTTACAATCCTGTAGTTCTCTGTCACCACCAGGGACTTCATTATATCATAGAATTGCATAGCAAATGCTGTTTACGTTAGGACCCTGAGATGTCAGGGTGTGCAGACCATATCTAGTGGACTCAGTTTAAGGAGGCAAGGAAAATAAAAGTAATAACATTGGGTAAAAAAAACCCTTCCAAAATGATGAAAAATGGAGAGAGCATGGTGGTGCACCTCTATAATGCTTGCACTTGAGATACTAAGGCCAAAGGTCATGAGTTCAAGGCCAACCTGGGGCTATGACACAGAAAAACAAAGATAATTTCTGCTTCAAGGTAATTCTCAGCTTTTCAGAACAGTTTGATTGAAGACTTCACGAGCACTCTGTAGAGCAGGAGTCTGTCTCCCCTGTGCAGAGTCTGGACTGCAGCAAGTACTCCATGAACAGTTGCTGAAGCAGTCACTGGACCAGGATCACATCACACCGGATACTCTCTCCTTCTCGGCTGCCTTTGAAAAGCTCTGTTGGCACCCACATGTAGCCTCAATTATTGGTTATTCTCTTGCTCAAATTGTCCTTACGTAACCTTGAGTCAATGGTGGCACTTCTGTTCTAAAGGTTTTTTCTCTTCCATGACCTCTTCTGGTCAGCACTGGGATACCAGAGTGTATGACCCTGTTCTGGCTCAGCCATCAGTGCTCAGGAGATGGGGTACAAGGGCAAGGAGCAGGGGATCTGTGATGGGAATCTCATGGGCGTGTCTGTTTGGCTTTCAGCAACGGTCTACAGTGGCATCCATGATGCATCGCCAAGAGACGGTGGAGTGCTTACGCAAATTCAATGCCCGGAGAAAACTGAAGGTGGGCCTTACTTCCGAATCACTGGCCTCTCAGAATTGGGGCTTTGGACAGTATAGCTCCTGCCTGGTCCCACAGGGAAGCTCCCTCCTGTTGGGACTGGGTTGCGAAGGTTGTTCATATTGGGGCACCAGAAAACTCATGTCTTTAGGCTCTGGCCCAATAGCTGCCTTTGCCTGAGGCCAAGCTGCCCTTTCCTAAGGTCCATTTGAACTCACGGACTCTCTCTCCCACAGGGTGCCATCCTCACAACCATGCTTGTCTCCAGGAACTTTTCAGGTACGTGTTCCCAGCTGTGCACTTTTACTCTGCAGAGGTGAGTGGGCCAAGAATGGAATCTGGTCAGTCCAGGCTGCGTAGCTGTCTCAGGCGGCAGCACCTGAGGATGAACAAGGATCCTCTTACGAGGGCAGCCGCTGGTGGTTTCTGTTACCCAGTTTCTTAGATGTGGAGGGAAGGGCTTTTCTGAGGCTCCCAATTTATGAATTCTGTTTCTTCAGACCACCTAAGAGTAGCCTGTCCAGCTTCCCATGTGGCTTACCCCCATCTGTGTGTAACTCTCCAAAGATTCTTCATACTCTAAGATATTAGCCAGTCTAGGGTATTGGAGAGTGTGCTGGAGAAAAGAGAGATGAGATACAGTGTCTTCTCAGTTGCATCCACCTAAGATCATCTCTTACTTCACTGTGTCCAAGAAGAGGTACTGAAACCTTTTGCACCTACTGAGGCTTATGGTACTCTCTGACACTAGCTATGAAAGTGAAGAGACCAGGGGCGGAGACATAAATTTGCATGATGAATTGGAAGAGTTGGGTCAGTAATTTGCAAATCACACTTGATGTTTCTTTTTAAGATGCAAGACATTCCAGTCCTCTTATCCCATTCTTACCTTCACTGTTCACCCTCAGTTGGGAGCACAGTGGCTTTTCTGTGAGGAAAAGATTGGTGTCAAGACTTAACTGAAGGCAGAGAAGTCTCTACCCAGCTTGCTTTGGCCCTTGGTCCTTCCTTCCTCTAACCCCCAGCCTCGCTGTTTTGGTTAAAGACCTACCCCTTTCTCATCCTTCTAACAATACTCGTCCCCTGCTTACTTCCTGCACCGCCATGAGAGGGGCTTGTGCGAGAGTGCCAGCTGCCTACCAGTTACAGTAGGTGGCTATTCTGGGCGGGGCTTGCATCTTGGAGCTCAGGTCCTGCTGGGACCTGGTTCTGGGTAACTGGAGAGTTTTGGGTTGGAGGAGGCGTCAGACAGGAGAGCTAGTGCTCTACAACTCTAGGTTTGGACCACAGGGCTCCAGAATATCAGGACTGGATAGTGAGCCCAGGATAACCCTGGTTTGGAGGTGTACTCCTATGTTGAGTACACACTAGAAGGTCGTGCTGTCCTCCAAGAGGAGAGCAAAAGCATGTGGCTTGTTGCCTCCCACAGAGATAGGGTGGCAGCCCCCCACAGTACTCCCTATCCTGTAACAGAGATAGGGTGGCAGCCCCCCACAATACTCCCTATCCTGTAACAGAGATAGGGTGGCAGCCCCCCACAGTACTCCCTATCCTGTAACAGAGATAGGGTGGCAGCCCCCCACAGTACTCCCTATCCTGTAACAGAGATAGGCTGGCAGCCCCCCACAGTACTCCCTATCCTGTAAGGACTTGCAGCTCTGTTGTCTTGATTTCAGAGCCTTCTTAGAGGCTGCTCAAGGGCATTTCTGTGCTGCCCGTACAGTGATATTTCCTCTCTCCTCTGAGTCAAAGAAACATGAAGACAGGCTGCTGCCGCTGCTGCTGCTGCTGCTGCTTGTGTAACCTGGCCAGTCAGAAGCAAGTGCCCTGTCTTGTGATCTTGGGCTGCAAGTCTGTCTCCCTGTCGGTTTCAGGACATGAGTGTCCTGGTTTTAGGCAGTCAGGCTCTCTTAGGAAAGAGCTTTGGCCCATCCCTCAAGAGCCTTCTGGCCTTTGAGATCACTTTATCCTCAGTCAGAAGGGACAACAAAAACAGAAGGATGTTCTAAGCTTTCCATGTTGGTTTCTCCTGCCCTGAATTTGGACGAGTGAGGACAGGGCTGCAGAAAGAGACCTCTACCGATGTGATGAAGGATAGTCACTTGTTTCTTTAGGCATAAACTAGACTGCTTCCCAGGTAGATCCATGGGGTACACAAGTAGTCAGAAAGACGTTGACATCTAACTAACTTGGACAGCCTTTCTTTTGTCTCTGGGGCTCCCTTCTTGGGTATCTTCATCCTCAGTACATGATGAAATACAGACTGAGAAAAGCAATCTCTCTTTGCTCACTGCTTACAGGGAGAGGGGCCTGTATCTAAGGACGGAGCTGGGGCTTACCCATAAAGGTGGCTGCCCAAGGGGCCTCATGGGAGCTTTACCATGCCCCAGTCCCTCTCTCTTACTTGGAAAATGTTCTATGCTCCAGGCATTCTGATAACAAGTTCATTTAAAACTGAGCGTGGTTTCCTCAGAAAAAGTACCTGCCTCCCACCAGGTCAGGCTCTTAACTTAAAGTGGTTGTAGGGACAAGCAGTGAAGCCATTGCCATGAATTAGAGGCATGATAGTCTCTTCAGCCTGTCCAAGCCTCACAGGCCCCCAGACTGCTGTAGGGCTGACTGTTCCTGCCTCCTCAGTCTGTCCCCTGGTGCCTCCTCTACCCCAGCTCGGCTGGCTTGGCCATGCCACCTGGGCCTTGCTGTGCGTGGGCAGCCAGCAGTTCCTACGCCTCATGCTGGGGCATGCTCGCTGCTGACTGGCCCCCGTGGCTTTGCGGCAGCTCTGTGCACTGAGAGATTGTATCCCCTCAGTTGGCAGGCAGAGCTCCGCCCCCGCCTCGCCTGCCGCGAGCGCCGCCGGCCTGGCCGGGCAAGGTACGTGGCATGAGTCCTCCCTGACCGCCTGCCTTGGCTCCCTGCCACCCCAACAGTAGGGCCAGCATGCCAGGCCCGCTCACCAGGGAGGCGAGTCCCATGCTTGCGGGCTGAGATGGGCATGCCATATGGACCACCTAACTTGGCATCTGCAAGCACATTGATGTTATGAAGGCCCCTAACCAGCCGTGCATGCTGGGCGCTTGCCAACTCTCAGGAGGCAGTAGCCTGGGGACTTGGAGTTGGGCAGTAGGAGCCTTTCCTCCAGATGGCCCAAGGGCTTGACCTGCAAACAACCCTGGGCATGGCCTGAAGCTGTCTGGTGTTAAGACTAGACTTTTGCAGCACCATTTAAGACCCTTCAGTGAAAGCCTCAAAATTTTTGGAGCCTGGAGTTTACAGACCTCCAGGTCTAAAAGGCTGTGTAGTACAGAATCTATAGGGTCAGTCGTTCACTGGTTTGAATTCTATCCCTGTCACACACTGAGCAAATCATGTCGGCTCTCCTGCCCCTAATTCTCTCATCTCTGTAATGGTCTTAACAAGTAACACAGAGATACTAAGAACATCTATGTCGTAGGTTCTCAGCTCTGCCTATACAGGACCACCAGCCACCTGGGAGCTCATTAAAAAATATATGTATATTGATGCCAAGGTCCCACCCCAGACAAAGTCAGGATCTTTATCAGATGGGATAAGTTAAGTGTTCTTTAAAAGTTTTCCAAGTGATTCTAGTGATCATCCTGAGCTGAAAACCAGCTGGTAAATATAACAGTAGGCAAATCAGGCTTACTGCTATAGACACATTAAAACTTTCCTTGCCCACATACAGCATGGCTGGAGAAAAAAGATCAAGGCCATTTTTTGAGAACCAAAATGTTGTGATGAAGTTATGTTCTTTCTCTCACTGGAGAAAGATAGAACATGGCTTAGACAGGACTGGCCGCCTGAAGAACAGAGGAGACGGTTGGGAGTCACAGCAATGGTAGCCACCACTCCGTGTGTGCTGAGCACTCTGCCAAGTGCTTTGTAGGCATCCCATTGGATCCCCACCACCGTCCTGTGACCTAGGTGCAGTTCCATCCCATCTTATAAGTAAAGAATTTGAGACTAGAAGTGGTTAAATAACTCATGATGGTCAGTCACAAAACGCAGCTTGCAAGCGGTAGAGCCCAGGTGGGAATCTACAGCAGTCAGACGGTCAGAGAGTTGGGCTGGTCCTGTTTCCCTGTGCCCTCCAGAACTCTCTCACCTTCTGTCTGCCACCTTCCAGTGACCTCTGTGGCCTTCTGGTGTCACCAAAAGCCTGGTGTAGGTCATCAGCCTGTGTATCACCCCATGGCTGGCTGGAATCTGTTCGGCAGCTCATAATTCTAGCCAATCCTTCCTGCTCGTGGATCCAGAGAATGGAAAAGGGCCGTAGCTAGAGCCCAGTAAACTGGTGAAGTACTGCCCAGCGAAAGGCTTCAGCCCCTTGGCAAAACCCTCCTGTAGGTGGTCCCGGTTTTTGTGTCTGTGACTGTCTGTCCTCACGTCTGGTCTCCTTTGTGAACTGTGACACTATTTTCTTGAGAAAACTCCGGAGATGTCTTGCATCCTTCCATCAAGAGGACTTCCATGTGTCTAGAAATGGAGCCCTCACCTTTACACTTTGGCACTGTTTCCAGGCCTGGAGAGAAGCTGTTGAGGACAGCACTCCCAGTGCCCCAGGAAGCTCGTGTACCCAATGTGGTTTCTCTCCCTAAGCACAGGGCGTCTGCTTCTACTGCGCCCTCAGTCATGGCAGAGGAGGTCCTAGTGTGCCATGGCTCTGAAACCCTCGAGATGCCCTTCCTGCAGAGGAGCTACCGGAATGAGTGACCTTCTCTCAGGAGCTGTGGGGGCTCCTACCCCCTTGTTAGCTCAGACCTTGTGGTGCAGGACATGACTTGCCTCTTTGTTTTCACAGCTGCCAAAAGCCTACTGAACAAGAAGTCAGATGGCGGTGTCAAGGTAGGTGTCTCCAGCTCTCTGACCAAACACTGGCTTCTCTCCTGGCAGCTGCTGAGGGATTCTCTGTAGGTACCTTGGCCTTGCTGCTTTGTTTTAAGCCTTTTGCTCAGGACAGCAGGTTATACTGGCCTGAGAGGGAATAAAGGATATGTGTCTCCTCTCCTTAGGTAGATGGGAAAGATGTTGGGAGAATGATCCTAGTTACAGTTTCCTAGAGCTGGTTCTGAGCCTGACTCTGTACACCAGCCTCATCTCCAGGGCTGGACTCTCTAGGTTTCTGGTTGGTTTGAGCCATTTGGTTAATCGTGTCCCTCTTTGCACAGCCTCTTTAGTCAGAGCCAGTGTGCCATAGTAACTCAGGCAGGGTACCATACTGGGACCCTGAAGCCACTACTCTCTTTCTGGTGTTTTTCTGTAAACCACTTCCAGATCACGGCAGGTGCCACAAAGAGTCTCAAGCACCTCTAGGTGAAGGGACATGGTGTGTCACAGCTCATGTTCATCTAGTAGAGGAGTGTTTCCTGGGTGAGTCAGGACATAAGAGGGCCTGGAATAGTGACCTGGCTCAGATGAAAAGCGGTTAGCTGGGGGTACCCACAGGGTAAAGGGTACACACATAGATTAGAGGCAGAAAGTGTCCCGAGACGAAGATGCTCAATAGAAATTCATCCTGTCCTGAGACTCACCAACTGACACATCAGAGGACTTCAAACAAAGAGTTGTCTAAACCATAATCTCTAACAAAAGCACACATTGGGCCTTTCCCTGGGAGCTTATGTGCACAGTTCTGTTATACAGACGTGCCTCTGCTGCTCCTTTCTTGTTCCTTTTCTCTCTGCGTGTTTGCTTTTGTGTCCTTCTGCCACAAGGAGGGGCACTCAGAACCCACTTACACCTGCTCACACAGAGCTGTCATTTAGGGGAGGCCCCTGGTTCTAGGCACGAGCAGGATGACCAAGCCAAACAAGAAGAGGCCGTCAACACGGTGGGCTAGGTCTAGAAGGCCTGGGAAGGAGCTTAAGGGGCGTAGGAAGATGAACCCATTTGGTGGTTGTCTCTAAGGTATGGAGTCGGAGGTGAGGGAAGATAGGAAAACAGCTTTTTTTTTTCTTTTCACTTAATACACTCGAATATATTTTCTTTAGAACGAGAGAGCATTACCTCTGTAACCTAAAAACAGCAAAATACATTTGTGCGAGTTGTCACAGATACTGATGTTCTCTGTCCAAATAGAGTATGAGATATACAGTAGAAAGATATAAAGCCAGGCACGGCGGCACATGGGAGTACCCGGGAGACATTCGTCGAAGGGTAGTAAGAGTGAGCCAACTTAAGATGACAGAGAAAAACCTCCTCTCAAAAAAAACATCTTTTTAACAGAGAAGGGAGGAAAAAGTAGTCAAAGCCATGACCAGGGCTGTACGGACGGGGCTTTAGAGCTCAGTGGTGGACAGCAACAGGCCCTGGGCTGCATTCCTTGGCAGTGCAGAAAACAACAGCCTCAATAATCTGACTGAGCAGTAGACTTGGAAGTCTGAGTGTTAGACTATAGAAAACACTGCATGCCTGGTTGAGGAAGCTATGGTAAGGGTGATAAAAAGAAAGATTGGAAGGGCTAAGGGTGTCCTTCATATGCATGAGGCCCTGGGTTCAATCCCTGAAACAAGGAGAATGAAGAGATGTTTGAGTGTACGTGGGAGACTGGAAGAAGGCAAGAACTGCACAGAGGTGTCAAATATGTTACAGTTTGAAGATGAAAGGTTCAGAAGAAAAAATGGTCAGAAATATCAAAGGAAAATATTCAAAATGACGGCACAGATTCTTTTTTTTTTAAAGATTTATTTATTTTATTTATGAGTACACTGTAGCTGTCTTCAGATACACCAGAAGAGGGCATCGAATCTCATTATGGGTGGTTGTGAGCCGCCATGTGGTTGCTGGGATTTGAACTCAGGACCTCTGGAAGAACAGTCAGTGCTCTTAACCGCTGAGCCATCTCTCCAGCCCCAACGGCACAAATTCTAACTAAATCAGCATAGAGGTTACCTGAAGTCATGGTCCGGTTACACCCATAACAGGGAATACCTGCTATGATAACAAGTGTTCCTGAAAAGCCTCACACCTGGGTATGGGCGATTTTCTAAGAATCCATCGGTTGGCATTGGGGCACAGTCTTATAAACTTTGCAGTGGGGAGGCAGTGGTAGGCATGACAAAAGGTCATGTCTATCCTGAGCTACAGAGCACAAAGAAATAAATAAAGATAATTAGCTGGACATAGTGGTGAACACCTTTAACTAAAGCACTCAAGAGGCAGAGGCAAGAATTCCAGGACAGCCAGAGCTACACAGAGGAACCCTGTCTTCAAACCACCACCCACCACCACCACCACCACCCACTCCCCCAAAAAGAGGCAGAGTCAAGTAGATCTCCATGAGTCTTGAGGCTGGCTTGGTCTCCATCAACAGCTAGGACTACAGAGAAAGACCGTGTCTCAAAAAAGGAAGGAAGGAAATAAATTAATTCATCAGACGATGTCAAGGTTTCCAGCCTTGACTGTTAAAGTGATTATGAATAAAGTGTCTGTTCTGGTGGGGAAAGTTATGTTTTGATCTCATTGAAATTAAGGAACAGGTGGCATATCCAATTGAGATGTTTTTAATGGCCCTGGGAAACACATGCTGTGACCCAAGAAAGAGTCCATCCCTAGCCTTGAACCCTTGACTCTCTTGCTTCTCCCTCCCATGTGTTGATGTATACTGTTATGTCCATCTTTATGAACCGAGTTCCTGACAGACTCAAAACTTTTTTAAGATAATAGTTTCAAAGACGACTATCTAGTATAACCATATAACACTACTCTAAGAAGATAATTATATATAGATTCCAGAGTCAGGGCTGTATCTCCGTGATAGAATACTTCCTTAGCATATACAGGGTTCTAGGTTTGATTCTCTACACCATGGAAAAACACACCAATTGATTTGGACTAGAGAGATGGCTCGCTTTTTGCTCTTGTAGAGGGCCTGGGTTCAGTTCCCAGCACTCATGTGATTACTTAAAACTGTCTGTAACTGTATTTCCAGATGATCAAATGACCTTTTCTGGCACTTGTGGTTTCTGCATTCACATGGTGTGCAGACATATATGAAAGCAAAACACCTGTACACATAAAACAAAAATAAATCTTTTAAAACTTGATTTTAGGGTATAGCCTGGAATTTAGATTCCAGAGGCTTTGAGTGGGGGACAGAATTAGCTATTGAATTTTAATTCATTCCTTCTCCCATAGAAGTCTAAAACATGAAAACTTAAGGATATTATAAAAGGAAAAAACGGGAGTTATATGTTATTAAGATATTGAAAAAGGAAATAGAGAATGGAAAAAGAACAGATGCTGAAGAACAAAAGCACAGCAAAGCTAGACAGCACTGGAGGTTAAGGAGGAGGCTCTGTGGGCAGAGCATGAGTGAGAAACTTAGCCATTGAACAGACCAGCTATGACTCTTGGGACCGTAGATAAGCCATAGAGCACTTGCCTAGCATGACCAGCCCTTAGTACGGGGGTGGGGGGTTGGGGGGAGGGTGGGCGTAGACAGTCACAGGTATGGTGGTATGGGAATACTTTTATTAAAAAGTGTTGAACAAATATAGTACCAACCCTTTTTTTTTTTAAGTAGAAAAATGATCTAAGAAGATCCATTGACCACCTGAAGATGGAAAAATAAGCAGAAAGACAACTTTTAGCCTTATTACTACCAATGAAATGCAAGTGAGACAATGAGCCTGGTCAGCAGAACGAGTTCCAGGACAGCCAAGGGCTGTGTAGAGAAACCCTGTCGGGCAATGTGCCGTTTTTATTATTATTAATAAGTTAGTGATGGTAGTAAAATCAGTGTCCATGCCATACAGATGTTCCTAACTTTTCTTCTGGACATTTTCTTCTAAAAATTCTAAAAAAGTATATAAAGTAGGAAAAGCTGAAAGCAGAAAGATGTTTTATATGACATTCTGTGAAAAGATTGAACTGTTTCAAAAGCCAGCCAGAAATAAATGATTAAATAATAATGAAGAACCCATTTAATAGACCATTAGGAAGTTAGTCATCTGGAGTTGGAGAGAAATTTGAACTTAAGTTGGTTCAGAAATTTGGAGCACTTGCTGCTCTTACAGAATACTGTAGTTTAGCCCCCAGCGTCTGCCTCTGGTGGGTTACAGCAGCTCATCTGAGACCCTCTTCCGGTCTTTTCAGGCAGACCTGGAACTGAGTAGCCAGTTGTGAGTTACCATATATTGATACTGGGATCAAAACCCATATCCTCAAGATATGCAACTCATGCAAGAGCATGATCTGCTGAGCCATTTCTCCGGCCCCTAAATTATATTCTTTTTTTTTTTTAAAGATTTATTTATTTATTTTATTTATGAGTACACTGTCGCTGTCTTCGGACACACCAGAAGAGGGCATCCAATCTCATTACGGATGGTTGTGAGCCACCATGTGGTTGCTGGGATTTGAACTCAGGACCTCTGGAAGAGCAGTTAGTGCTCTTAACCACTGAGCCATCTCTCCAGCCCTGGTAAATTATATTCTTTAAAATACAATTAACTGTAGATTCATGTTCAACATACAATATGGAGTCAGGAAAAAAAAAACGAGAAAACTCAGAACTATTTAATCATAGCTTTCTAAACATTGGTCTGTTACGGTGGTTTTTCTCTACTTTTCATACTTTTCACCTAGACCATGCATCAATACTAATCAGCAATTCAAATTATTCTCTACTAAAAATAAAAAGAAACTAGTAGACAGGTTGGCACATGCCTGTACTCATAGCTAGTGGAGGCAGGAGGGTCCAGATTGCTAAGATGCCCTGCTTACTAAGGTTATGAAGTTATCAAGGTTATCCTTAGCAACAGAATGGGTTCAAGGCCAACTTTTAAAAAAATCAATTTTAACTCAAGATATTGATTTTTAAAAGTATAGCATGAATGTCTATGTGATATGTACCTTATAATATTTTTGATTGCATGTGAAAAAAAACCAGAAGAGCAATGGGAATTTGGGCAAAAAAAATCACCCAGAATTCCTCTTTGTTTTTCAAATTGCTTATAATTTGATTGTAGTCTTTCTTACTCAGTAATATAAATAGTCAACTTTGTGATTGGAAGAAAAGAAGACAGAATGTGGGACTTGGGACCTTTGCAGGCGCTCTTGAAATTTGAGCTGATGCCAGAATTATGAAGGAAGCCATGAAGTTGCTTGGAAGGTCCCGAGCTTTCTCATTTGGATTTTTTGTAGAATCTCTCTTCCTTTTCCAATGCTTTTTCCTGATTTCTTCAGCTAACTGTCCATAGAAAGGTTCCCTTCCCTCTTCAGATGTTTCTGTGGGATGTTTTCAACAGCTAGCATTGGTTTGAGTAGATGCTGTGTCCCATGGCTTTGAACTAGAAAACTTGAGGTCTATTCAGGCTTCTTTAAGGTTGATGCTTGTGACCTTTGTGGAAAAGCAAGCTCCACTTCTAAAGGAGAGGACTGAAGAGGACCACAAGCACTCAAATTCTGTGAGGCCTCTGGACAGCTTGGCATTCTGCTGGTTTCAGGCTAGAGTGACTATCCAAGTTTGTTTTGTTTTTTTAATAAAAAGAAAAGAGATAGAGAAAGCAAAAGTTATAGTTAAGTATTCTTGGAGCATTTGTTTTAATTGAGTATGAAAACACGAGCCCTGAACTCTTTTAACTGTGTAAAATTTTAAATTTATGTGCAGTATTGAAATACAAGTCAGACATGGTCCTTTGAAAGTGATCTGGCATTTAAACAATGCTGTGGTGTTCTGGTTGAGAAAGAGCCCAGCTGTGTGTGGCTGAGGGCAGAGCCCTGAAAAGATGGACAGAGAAACTAAAAGATTGCCATTGGGAAAAACACCCTCAGAACAGAGAAGGATGATTGGTTTGCCTGTTGGACAGTTTAGGAAGAACAGAGCCAGTCAGGAGAAAGCTAGGAACACACTTCCCATGAGGTAAAGCCGCAGCTGAGAGAGAGGTTTCCATTTGAATGCAAGGCACAAAGCAACTGCAATGGCTTTTGACAACCAGCCACTGAAAATCCCCAGAACTAAGTGACTGAGTGCCTGACCTGCTTCTCAGAGTTTACACTGGAGACATGTGTTGTTTTAGCTTAGGGAAAAGCCATCTTCAGCAAACCTGGTCAGCGTCTTAACACTCTAGCTAAGTGCAGTGACTTGCACCTAGAATCTCAGTACTTGAGAGGCTATAGGAATGCCAGAAGTTCAAGGCCAGAGTGGGCCACAGTGAGTACCTGCCTAAGGAAAGAAATTGCAAAAGAAAAAGAACAAGCATGAATACTGTTGGAGAAAAGGATGAGATGATGAGGTAGGAAGAGGAGGAGTAGGGACCTATCTGGACAGGGAATATGCCCGATACATGTGTAAGGCGACACCCTTCTTTTGAGGGATAATTTTGGAAATAAAATCTCATATTTGAGCAGGCTATCCAAAAGGCTAATGCAAGCTGGCCATGACAACACACTAGAAGGTGAAGGCAGGAGGGTCAGGAGTTCAAATTAATTCTTTGTTATGTATCTTGATCAAGATAGCCTGAACTACTGGATGCCCTGCTCTAAAACAAGAAGGTTTACACAAGCCCAGTGTGGGGGCACATACCTGTGATACAACAACCTAGGAGACTCAGGCAGAGGGGTTGTAAGTTCAGGGCCATCCTAGACTATATAGCAAGACCCTGTCTCAAAACAGCAAGGGACTAATGCAAAAGGAAGCCACAATAGGTTTTTCTTCTCCTTTCATTCAAATCCAAATTATGGACAATTTTATTTTTTAATGTTTGCATATAAATTATGCATAGTAATGGGTTTCATTATGACATTTTCATACATGTACACATACTCCCACATACCCCATTATCCTCTAAAATATTCTTCTAAATATCAGTAGCCCCCTTCCAGAAAACATCTCTTAAAGTAGAATGTAGGTCCCATGAGGGCAAAAACCATTTCTCAGATATGTTTATTATGCCCAGAACAACCCTCAGTAAGTAGTATTGGATGTCGTTAAGTGAATGTATGAAAGTCAAACAACAGACATATTCTGAGAAGACTTCTGTCTCCCAGTGAGCTAATTATAAAAGTCATAATTACCCTTAGCCTCTCTTAGTCTACTCTGGTGTATTCTCAGTGTGCTGTTTGGTCTTGATTTTGATGCTCTGGTCTCACATGGAACCTGAGGTCGGAGCAGATATCTAGTGGCGGTTAAAGTTACTTGCTCAGGCTCAGCACTCCCCTGGCTCTCCATCTCTTTGATCACTGTAGTCTTAATTACAAACACTATGTTTCTATTTCTAGTAATGACAAAAAGCAAGAGAACATGCACATCTTTTAAACTAGCATGGCTATGCTGACAGGGAATAGAATGTCAAATCTTAACTGTAAGATGAAGAGTCCACAGACTTTTATCTGAACAGCGTTCACAGCTTCACTGAGGTCTGAGTACAGAAGTCAAGAGTTATTGAAGCTGAGCATCCTGCCGTAGTAGCTTTTGTTGTATCCACATCTCAGACAGACCTAGCTGTAGAACACCCTTGTTAGTGTGCCAGTCCCAGCAACCCAAACCTGTAATTTTGCAGCAGTCAAATATTACACACAGACACACACACACAGACACACACACACACACACACACACGATTGTGACTGAACAAGACGGACTTCTCAGAGTACACTAAATTTTCTGTGTTTGTGAATCCGACAGAAGAGTTCTCCAGCGGCTGGAAGAATGTATGTGCCTGTGGTCTGTGTACTGTTTTAACCCCTTTGGTGCTGGACTCTGGGGTTGTTCCTCCTCTTCCTCCTCCTCTTCTTCCTCTTCCTCTTCCTCCTCTTCTTCCTCCTCCTCCTCCTCCCTCCCTCCCTCGATGCAGAGCCCAAGCTGGTGCACTAACCTGCAGCGTCTCTGTGCTTCTCTTCTCACCTCCTCTCTCCCCTTCTCTTTCCCTCTTGCTGTGGTGTGTCCAGAAAAGGAAGTCGAGTTCCAGCGTGCACCTAATGGTGAGCCTTGCCTGCCCACCCATCCCACCCCCACTTCATGCTGCTTGTGCCCGCCTGCCAGCCATGCAGACCCATTCTGCCATGTGCGTGTGTGTCACTCATCCTCACTGCATGTCTGTGCTGTGTGGACAGGTGTGGCCTGTCCTGCCAGGCGGGGCCATTGCCCAAGATCACCCAGTGGCCTTAGCAATGGGCACTGGAAGGTGTGGTATGGCACTCCTTGCTGTGGAGGTTGGATAGCCTCCCACAGTCCACTGTAGGGAGTAGAGCTTATAGGGATTTTGGGAAAAGGCAGTAGGCACAAGGAGAGACTATCACTTAGGAGATGAGGCCTATTCTTCAGGTATGAGCAGCTGCTTCCTGGGGCCTGACATTCAGTAGGCATCTGTGTACTGAGAAGAGCTAATGGTCAGCTTGTGGCTCTAAACCTTGTTCTCCTGTGAAAATTCCATTTTCCTGCTAGGTCCAGGATTGTAGCCTGCCCACCCAGCCCTCAAGGGGAACAGCTACACTGAGAAACTACAGTAAATGCATCTTTTCTCATGGGACACAGGGCACCATGAGAAAACAAGGGAACAAGCAGCCTAGTCATTATACCATCCATTATAACCAGAGGTGTGGCCCCTGGGGTGTTACTCTGCAGAGAAGGCCTGTCTTATCATGGAGTGTTCATCCCCTGTAAAGGTCTTAAGATCAACCATAGGCTTTGTAGGCTGGGCACCCTTCTCCAGTCTACCCTACCCAGGAAATCAAATTCTGCCCTCTGCTGTCTCAGGATAGGAACAGAAGATAAGTGCTGTGGTGTGTTTTGTTGGTGATGGGTTTTTTGTTGTTGTTTTTTAACATGGAACTTCTTTGCAGCCTGTAGAATTCAGTAGCATCCTTATAGTACTTGATGTTGACTCAAGATTCCATGCCTAGCCCTGGTTTTGAGGAACTCTCAGCCACTGACAGCAGGCCAGGGTTATATAACTTAGATCTGGCCCATGAGGCCTGTAGGCAAGATGTAGAAGAGTCTGGATGCATTCTGTGGAGAGAAGACATGCATTCTAACCATCAACATATCTTATGCTCTGAATAGAGGCACATTACGTTTGTCTCTGTGCCTGTGAAAGAACTCAGGTTGTCAAGCCACTCTTTGGTGGCTGTGACTGCACTGGGACCCATTGAGACTGAGTTGAACTGCTCAGGGAAGCAGAAGAGGCAGAGAGCACTGATGTGGTTCCCTGCACTGGAGATTGGCCTTCTTCCTTCCTCTCCAGCCCCTCACACTCTTTCTTGGCTGTGTCACTCTGTAATGTTTTAAAAGGCAAGAATATCCCTGGTGGTCGAGTTGCCATTAGGAATATTGACTTGCTGGGCGGCTTGTTCTTTCCTGGGAGCTGAGTGCTGGGACTGCAGCCACAACCACCGCTGAGATTTGCCTGCCCTTCCCTGGAGCTCTGCCCTCACTTTCAGCTGATCAAGTCCAAGACTTACCAGGTGGAAGATGAAGAGCAGGGAGATCTGTGGCTACATTTTATCCCTAAGTTGAATTCCACCCCGAAGGCCAGGTGTTCTTGCTCATCTCCTTCCTCCTCTTCATATCAGGCTTCAGGCTGGTATATCAAGAGGGGAAGGAAATGCAGGTGTCGGGGGAAGGGCAACGGGGGAGCCAGAGTTCCCAGGTTTTATTCTGTTTTAAGTCACCATCTTTCCCACCTATAATGTGGGAAGAAAATCCTGAATTTCTTTATATCTGGTATGACTCTGTACTGACTTGGCACCTGGAATAAGCAGAAATTTCTGGAGATGCTTTAAAATAAGTCTTCGGCCAGTCCTGCAGGGAGGATGCCTCCAGAGCTAGGTCTCCAGGGCTCCCCAAATTCTCCATCTCTAACCATTGCTCCCATCCACATAGTGTTACGGTTGCCACCTCAGGCCTGGCACCTCTGCGCCAGACTGGGGACATGGGAGGTCTGGGAGTCAAACCTGAGCAATTTTGGTGACCCTGGAGAACTAAACCGTCTGTTTTCTTGTCTCAGCCACAGAGCAACAACAAAAACAGTCTCGTAAGCCCAGCCCAAGAGCCCGCGCCCTTGCAGACGGCCATGGTACCTCTGACTACGGCTTCTCCGCCTCTGACCCTGGCTGCCTCCTGCCCCTTTCCTACCTCCTCTTCTTGCCTTACCTTCCTAGGGCTCCTCAGCTTTTGTCATTTTCCTCCCCTAGGGCAGACTGCTCTGTGTGCTGCCCTGCAGGCCCCTTGCCCTTCATTCTCCTGCTTGGCAATGTTCATCCTGCATGGCAGAACCACCGCTCCTGCTCCTTTCGCTGCTGGGGGAAAGAGTGATCAGGGCTGCCAGTTAGGCCTCCCACCCCCAAGCCTGACCCCTAGTGGGTCTGCTATGGGGTCCAGGGAGGTGAGTTGCTTTAAAAAGCACAGGGTAGAAGCTCTCTTGGTACCTGATCGTTAGTTCTTAGAAGCCTACTTGTAGAACCTGCCTCAGCCTCTCCTTTGCATAGTTAAGGACAGGAGGGAGGACTGGGGTTCCCCAGTGTCTCTCTGGTCCTGGAGAGCCCCTCTGTTCAGTCCTCTCTGGGTTCTTCAGCAGGTACTGCATATCACAGAGCTTTCACTGGTAGTGCTGGCTAGCTGATGGGCTAACAGGAAGGGAAGAAGGGAACAAATAAATGATCATGTCTGCCATGCCTTCTACTTCTGTGGACCCTCTTGTTATGGTGTGGTGCCAGAGGGCCATCTAGGGAAGGCAGAAGGAGGGTGAAATGGGCACCTCCCTGAGCTCAGCTAACTGAAGGGGCATCCTAGCTCTTATTGGGAGACTTTATCTTTTCTGCTTTCCCTGTGTCCCCGTCTTCTGTGCACCCCTTGATGAACACTGTTGGCAGGGCCTGACCTGTGCTCTGAATCCCACAGCTCTTCTTGTAGATTTGCCCCATGGGGCTCCAATCTAGGAAGAACCCTCAGACCCAACAAACTTCACGTACAGAGGCCCTTGTCCTCTCAGCTTCCTGAGAACCTGCCTCTTCCAAGCTTCTCCTTACCAGCCAGTGCTGTCAACTAAATCCAGGGTTTCCTACCTCTCTGGGACCCTAGTTGAGCCAGAATATATTTTTCTCATAGGGATGGCTGGTGGGCAGGCCTCAGTGGTCATCATAGGGTCTCTAAGGGTACTGTGTAAGGGTGTGGGGATCCCTTGGGGAGAGCTTAAGTCCCCAAATCAGGAGGGTAATTTTTATCTTCTCTCACAGGAACCGCAGACCACCGTGGTCCATAATGCCACAGATGGGATCAAGGTGAGTGCGGCCACCAAGTCTGCTTTACTTTCTTGCTCAGCAGGAAATGACTGGGCTGAGTTTCTAGGGTCTGAGAGGTCTGTGGATGTTACAAGCAGGCTATACCCCAAGGCAGAGGTGTTTGTGGTGTCCAGAGCCTGTCAGTCACTCCATTCTGAGGAATGGTGGAGCTTACTGACTCTGAGCCTAGGCTTTACAGTTGGATTGATCTGGTGTGAATCTTGGCTACAAACCTCTGAGCAAGTCACGTAACCACTTCCTACCTCAGCTTTCTTATTTGCAAGTTACAGTAGTAATAGTTACCTCCACAAGTTAAGTTTAGTGAGGAGGAATGTGAGGAGGGGAAAAGAAGGCAAAGGCCTTGGAAACACTTGATGAATAAAGTACTTACTGAGCAATCGTGAAGACAGGAGTTTGAAGCCCCAGAACCCACATGGTGGCCCACTTAGAGTCTTAGCACACGGGAGGTAGAAACAGGATCTCCCAGACAATCTGGCTGGTTAGTCTAACCAAATTAACAAGTTCTGGGTTCAACCAGAGACCTTGCCTCAGTAGCCAGAGTGGAGAGCAATTGAAGAAAACAAACAGCATCAGTCTCTGGCCTCCATACGTGCACTCACACCCATACATACATGCACACCACACACCACACGTGCTCTCACACCCATACATGCACACCACACACCATAGGTGCACTCACACCCATACATACATGCACATAACACACACACATACACACTCCCAAAAGGCAAGAATATAGCCAGACCTTGCAGCATTCTCTTTAGTATAACTTCCCACTCCTAAATTTTTACTAGCATTACTTAATACCATGGCTCTACCTTATAGAAAGGACAGAACAAATTTTCATGGGGGATGGGGAGGGAACTGACTGGAGGGTAAGACCCAGTTGAATAACATACCAATAATCAAATAAGATATAAAATCTAGTAGTGATAAGTGCCCTGAAGGAAGTGGTACAAAGTAAAGAGAGTGAAGAGAGCCTTTAATTAATTGGTCAGAGAATGGCCTCTTAGGAGGGGATATCTGAGCTAGAAATGAAACATCAGTGGGAAGGAAGCAGACAGGCAGGCTGCCAGGCAGATGACACTGCAAGTGCACAAACTTGGCCTGGGTAATGCCAGAAAGAACCATGTGGATCTGAGCTCAGGGAGTAAGGGCCAAAGGCATAGATGAGAGTCAAGAAGTCACCGGGCAGTGGTGGCGCACTCCTTTAATCCCAGCACTTAGGAAGCAGAGGCAGGCGGATTGCTGAGTTCGAAGCCACCAGCCTGGTCTACAGAGTGAGTTCCAGGACAGCCAGGGCTATATAGAGAAACCCTGTCTTGAAAAAAACAAAAAAACAAAACAAAAAAAGAGTCAAGAAGTTGGGGAAGCAGGCAGAATTTTCAGTCTGGCTTACTTTGTGCCTGGGTGGGGGCCTGGGGGTGTTTGTTTGCTTCAAGACAGGGTCTCCCCATGTCGCTCTCTGGCTGTCCTAAGACTGTGTAGACCAAGCTAACCTTGAATTGACAAGAGATCCGCCTGCCTCTGCCTCCTGACTGTTGGGATTAAAGGTGAGCGCCACCTGTGCCTAGCAATATGGTTTACATTTATTCCTGCAACAAAAAGCAGGTAGTTTTTATCCAGTGAGAGATAAAGTCCAGTTGTAGTTTACAAGTTTGCTGTGACCACATTCTAGAGAGTGTAGTGAGGAGAGCGGAAGCTGTGGTAGTGATTCCCGTCTGAGATGTCAGCAGTTTGGACGGACTGTAGCTGAAGGCTGAAGAGAAGTAAGATCCAGAGTTAAATTAAAGGCACAATGCTGAATTTTGGGGAGGTATTTTTTTTAATTTTTAAAAATTGGATTTAAAATTTTAATTATTTGGAATTTAATTTTAATTTTGGGCTGATGGGGACATAAGAGAAGGATGAAGGATGACCAAAGCTTTAGCAGGAATGCCTAGGCAATGCCTTTTCCTGATAGAAAGCCTAGGAAGAGACATTGGGACATGAAGAGTTTTCTAACAAAGGAGCAAGGGTGGAGTAGAACTTCTCTGATTGCTCTGGGCTCTTGTAGGAACTCACATGTTCCTGTTCCTGCGAGCTTCCAAGGGTGATCACATATATGTTCTCTTCGGCCCACAGGGCTCCACAGAGAGCTGCAATACCACTACAGAAGACGAAGATCTCAAAGGTAGGTGTGGCCCTTGGAGGGGAAGGGACCCCTACCTGACCTGGGTACCTCAGCATTGATGGGGCATCTGTCTTCTCTGTCCCTGGAACTGGGATTGCCTTAAACTATAGGAGGGGTTAACTTAAAAGGTACTTCCATACACTGAGATATGAGATTCCTGTCTGGTGCAAGCAAAAAAGGGCTTCTCCTCCTTCACCAAAGTCTAGAATCAGCTGTTTCCAGGGCCAGAGCGTATAGAGCCGTTCCTGTTAATGATGTTCGTCCCAGAGCAGAGGCATCTGCAGAGATAGGTCCTGGTTTTCTCAAGACCAAGGTAATTCTTAGGATGTAGAACTTTCGAGTTTTAAAATGAAGACAGAGAGTTGTGTTATAAGTCAATGGTAGAACACTTAACTCGCACCTCTGCCCTCAAAAAGAAAGAAAGACAGAAAAAAAAGAAAAGAAAAAAGGAAGGAAACAAAAACCCAAGGACAGCCCCAGCTTGAGTTCTGGCCAGGATTGTTAGAAATAGAACTGATCTGGTGTCTGAAGTTGCATTCAGCTGGCTTTGCAGGCCTGTGATGATCACTAGCCTAAACATGGGGCTGCCCAGGATGCCAGGAGCTATAAGGAACATGGAGCCAGACCAGGGGGTCTGTTCTCCTGTTCTTTGGGTTGGCCCCTTGGAACGTCTACATATGCTTTCAATACGTGACCTTCTGTCAGACCATCAGAGAGTTCAAACCATACTTTCAGGGCTGCAGGGAGTGAGGTCAAATCAGTCTGACACTGACAGAGTAAGAGGTGTCTCCACTGCTGGACTGGTGGCCTGATGGCCTAGCCCTTCTTGAATGCCTTATCTGGGAGCAGGGGTCCTTGTATAGTTGTTTTAAGGCTCCTTTGGAAGCTGCAAGCCTAGATCTGCTCACCTTTGTAGTGTTCCCAGCTGGGAGGCCTCTCTAGCAGAGGCAGCTGAGTGGGATGTGGTCCGGTGTCCACAGCAGCCCCAGGCCTCACCTTGCCCCGGCTCTGCAGTGCCAGTGGCTTGGGTCCTGTCCGGCTTGCTCGCTCACCTGCCTTATTCTGTTTGTTTTGGCTGCTCTGCCTTGCCCTGCCCTGCCCTGGCTGGCTAGCTGCCCCGCTCCGCACTGGGAATGGCAGCTTGGTGCCTGAAGGACGGAGCCCCCGGGACAGAACAGCCCCCTCTGCAGGCATGCAGCCCCAGCCTTCTCTCTGCTCCTCAGCCAGTAAGTGTGAGGGAGGCACATTCTGGCTTCCAACTCCCTGGCTCTTCCTGAAGCCCCTCAGGGATTCCCCCAAGAGCAGTCAGCCTAGCCCACCTGCCTGTTAGTCAGCTTTAGGGGCATGGTGTCTGCCAGGGGAGGGGGCCTGCTGGAGGCACTAGTCCCAAGCAGGCCTGAATTTGGAGACCAGAGAAGAGTGGGCGGGAAACCATAGTGTGGAAGTGGAGCATAGAAAGGCACTGGGCTGTGTAGCAGGCTTTGCTTTGACAACAGCCAGGAAGAAGATGAGAAGTCAGGTTCATGAGGTGGGAGTAGAGCAATGGTACATTGTTACAGCCTAGGAATTGTGTTGTGGTTTAGGGTTTTCTGTGGGTCAGCCGTATTAAGAGCATGGGCTCTGAATGAGACAGACCTGATTTTGAAACTTAGCTAAGTGTGGTGATACACAGTTACAATCCCAGCACTCACGAGGCTGAGGCTGAAGCCAAGGATCTCCATTTTGTTCAAGGCGAGTTTAGCTACATAATGGGACCTGTCTCAAAAGGAAACATAAATTCCAGCTGTGCTACCTTCAAAAGTCTGTGAAGTGTCTTAGCTTCCAAGAGCTTTGGTTTCCTTATCTGTTAAATGGGAGTTGGTGAGGGGGTCCCCACCTCAAGCACAGTAGTAGCTGGCCAGGTTCCTGAGACTCATGTCTGTGTCTGTAGTTCTGTCTGTGTTAAAGACATCTCTCTTGGTTTCTTTGCCCCACACTGTCTGTCCTAAATCCAGTCTTCATCACCCATAGGACCCCCGTCAGGTCCTTCAGATAACTTTGATGGAGCTTGTAGGGAAGTGTTGTAAAGACACACCTACTTGCTTCTCTGGACAAAGGACAGAACATATCCCCCTAAGCCCCTGCTTGTTCACTCAGCTGCCCCCCTGTCAGCGTTCTCTGTGGAGGCCCCTCCTGGCTTCCCCTTTAGCTATGCTGCCCAACTACCCTCCCCCACCCAGATACTCCCCTCAGCTGTGCTGGCCCAGCTATGTCATGCTGGTACTGTTCTAATGCTCACATTTGTCTGTCTTGCAGCCTCTTGCGCCTGTGAGGAAAGGCTTGTGGCCTGGACCAGCCTGGGGCTCCAGTTATAGTTAGGGTTAGCCTGAACTCAGCCCAAGCTCACCTTTACGCTAGAGACACCCCCTGCTATTAGTAGCTCTCTACCTGTAAGTGAGCTAACCCTGAAAACAGAATGTCACCATGTGCCCTTTGGGTAGGGAAGGAGGCTATCAACCTACCAGCCTCTCAGTCTTTTCTCGATTTTCTGTGGGAACTCATCCTGATGTGAGAACTGGTACAGGTTTCTAGTTTTTCTGAAGCTTATTCAAGGGCAGTGTAGCCATCACTCATGAGAGAAGCTGTTAAAAGTTTACAAGTCCCAAGATCCTGTATCCCAGAAAAGCCTCATGGAAGAGATGAGTGTTGTAAAAAGATGCAAGCATCAAACCTAGCTTTCTATTCATCCTTTTGAAACTTCATCTCTAGTTTGATTTTGTTCTCAGGCAGACTAAGCTCTGGACCACTGACTAAGGGCAACAAGTGCAGTAGTTACTGCAGCCTGAATGAGCCCTTTCTGGTGTAAGAAGTGGTTAGAAACAGAGAACAGCTGCATCTAGTTGCTAACCCTGCTAATACACAGACTCTTGACTAGAGAGTGGGTTAATGACATTATAGGCTCCTCAGCTGTTAAAAAGCAAAGATGTTTTCTCCAACCTGGTTGTTGATAAAGAGGTGGCAAAGGTCACAGACCCAATAACTACTGGATGGGCTTAGAAAGGAAGTAGTCCTTAATTCTGCAGATGCCAAAAGGGGCGTGGAAAGAAGGGTGGGCTTATTCCTCACAGGGCCTAAAAGACAGAGGAGGAGAAGGATGTCTTTGACAAAGATCACAAGGGATCCCTGAAGGACTGAGGAAGGCTCTTTTGCCCCTAGGAAAGTTGCCCAACAGGTAAATTGGTGGATTTTTCCTCCCAACAGTGCGAAAACAGGAGATCATTAAGATCACAGAACAACTGATCGAAGCCATCAACAATGGGGACTTTGAGGCCTACACGTGAGTAAAGACTCATTGCCCTCAGATTGTCTCCCAAGTCCACTTCTGTTTCCCAAAAAGTCTCTGATCCCATGGAAAGTGCAGTCTGGACCTTAAGCCCTGTCTGAATCAAATGTTTAAGCCCAGAGGCTTGGATTCCTTCTAGGTAGACTCCCCACAACTCAGCCTGACCTGTCATCCTGACTCTGGATAAAAGAGCAGGACTGCTAAGTGACTCTACAAGGAAAAACCTGAATAGTGTTGTTTTGTCAGCTGTAGGCCACAGCTAACCTGCTGTGGGCCAGTCACAACTGATGAACAAGGCTTGTAATCCTACAGGCCTGACAGGCTGTGTTTTTACCCTCCACCCCACCCTGGCCCTCTTTTCTGCAGGAAGATTTGTGACCCGGGCCTCACTTCCTTTGAGCCAGAAGCCCTTGGTAACCTCGTGGAGGGGATGGATTTCCATAAGTTTTACTTTGAGAATCGTGAGTGGGTTCGTGCTGCTGATAAACTCCTGCCTGCCCCTCTACCCCTGCCTCTGTCCCTACCCATCCCGTACCCTAGTACCTCTCTCTGCCTTATCTGACCTTCCCGCTGCATCCTGCTCTGTTCACTCGCTTCCTTGTGCCCTGCTGGCTTTTAACTGGCACTGCTCAAAGGCTGAGCCCATTCACTTGGCAGCTGTATAAAGGCACTGTTGATCACCACCGTTAGGGTCACTGTATTTCTTTAAGCAGCACCTGTCTCCAAGACAGACTATAAACTCCTCAAGATTAATTCAAGAGGATCTCAGCAAGTAATAATGAAGGTCTGTGTCTGCAGGGTTCACAATACAGGAAATTACAAACAGGATAAGAGTGTGTAAGCAAGTAACAGAGCAGTAATGGTGAACTGTGGGGTCAGAAACTGTGGCGAGGATGCCCTGGACATCGAGGGAGCCAAGCATCTGCATAGGGGAGGTCTATAAGCTCCTGGAAGTTCTAGAACTGAATCATCACACCTCCATCTCTACCTCTGCTTTCCAAAGCCCTCATTCTTCAGTTTTCCTTCCTCTTGTCCACTTTATCCATGGTGTCTTCTCCTGTCCTGCCCTGGGTTTTATGTTGTAGCTGTTTTCCCCTGCTGAGTCTGCGCATGTGATCTTCCCATGCTGCCTTCGTCATCCCTTAGCTATCTAAGTAATTCTAGTAGCCAGAACAGTGTTTATCTTAGTTCTAAGGGAGGTCTCTTGCAGCCTCTGTAGTATTGGAGTGAACTAAAGGGGATCTGAGTGCAAGCATCGCCATATGCAAGGCATATGCTGAGAGTGGCAGTCCAGCTCCCTTCACTTTCCAAGCCCAGAGAACTCGGGGAACTTGGGGGAGATCCTGAGCTGGGTGCTTTAGGGATTTCAAACTTTGATGTGCCTTTTCTTTTTAAGTCACCAATTGATTTTGAATGTGTTGCTTTTATGATTTTTCTCTTCTAGCTTTAGCTAGGGGCAAAATAAGCTTGGGACTTTTAAACACCAGCCTAACCAAGTAGAAAAACCATAGGTTTTTATTAGAGCCACATGGTCTTGAGTTTAAATATTTACTTTGATTTGAGTCCTTTTTTTCTGAATATAGTGAAGAAAATATCAGTAAAGAAATACATCTCTCTTGCATGTAAAACCTCAGCATAATACCTAATGCTAGTCTTGTTACCCACATTTCTCTTCCTTTTGGATGAAACTAATGTAATGGAGCATCATGGCCTCTGGGGGGCGATGTTGGAATACTTGGGGATTCTATAAATGGCTGCCGGAGCTAGAGTCAAGAAGGTGCAGCCTATCAGGAATATGTGAGTGTCCAAGCCTAATGCCTGCTACCTCCCCTTCCCTGCCCTGCCCCCTGCAGTCCTGTCCAAGAACAGCAAGCCTATCCACACCACCATCCTAAACCCACACGTCCACGTGATTGGGGAGGACGCAGCTTGCATCGCCTATATCCGGCTCACTCAGTACATCGACGGGCAGGGTCGGCCTCGTACCAGTCAGTCAGAGGAGACCCGGGTGTGGCACCGCCGGGACGGCAAGTGGCTCAATGTCCACTATCACTGCTCAGGGGCCCCTGCCGCACCACTGCAGTGAGCTCAGCCACAGGTGCTCCTGGTCTGGGAGAAGGGACTGGGACTGGGACAGTTTGGATAGCTGAGGTGGGAGGAGTTAGAGAAGGGCAGGAGGTGGCTCTCTAGAAGAGGTATGCGCCCTCCCAGAGGGGTGACACAGACTGGGCAACATAGTTTTGATAAGCCATGCTCTGTAATCAGATAGACTCCAGACTTGGCACATGCATTCTTCCCCTGCTAACCTTAGTTTCTTTAGTTATCAAAAGATGGGGAGTGTTGTTCCTACCTCCATTCCAGAATGGATTGTGAGGATTGAGATGTGTGAAGCACTGAGTAGGCACTCAAATGTGAGACAGTGCTGTGTTTACAGTAGCCTCTCCTGTTCCAGCCCATTCAAGGACTTAGTCGAGTGTGTAGTGTACCAAAATCCAATGAATTTACCTGTGTTCTCAATGTCCTCTGTTCTGTTGCCGCCTCCTGTTCTGTTTGACAGGGGCATTAGGAGATTCCAGCTGGAGGTTGAACCTTCGCAGCCAGTGACTCTGGAGGGCCTGAGTGACAGCGGCGGTCCTGTTCGTTTGAGGTTTAAAACAATTCAATTACAAAGCGGCAGCAGCCAATGCACGACCCTGCATGCAGCCCTCCCGCCCGCCCTTCGTGTCTGTCTCTGCTGTACCGAGGTGTTTTTTACATTTAAGAAAAAAAAAAAGAAAATAAGATTGTTTTAAAAAAATGGAATTCGTACCATGATGCATTTTAAAACAACTGATAGCCCTTGGGCTTGCAAGAAGGCAGGAGTTTGTGTGATGCTCATCCAGGCATGAACAGTGGGCTCGCCCACCACCTTGGAAGAGGTGAGCTTGGCCTCAGGCCCCTGTGGACTCAGGGGGACCAGGCAAGGACTCTTGACAGAGCTTTGGTCGTGGATAGAACTATGGTGTGGTTGCAGCCCCAGAGGTGGCCTGATCACCCCAGTTCTTGGAGTGAACTTCTTCAGAACATGCATTGACACCTAGTATGAGAAAGAAGCAAACGCCGTGGCTATTGGACCTACATGGGAGAGAATGCAGCGCTTCCTGCCTGCTGTCCCAGCCTGCTGTGGAGGCAGCTGTGAGGCGTGGCCTCAGGACTGAAGGCCTGGACTTTGCTGTACCGTTCCAGTTAGTGTAGGCGGGAAGAGAATTGGTGCTGCAGAAGTGTGTCTGACACAGAGCCGATGAGAAACCTCGCGTTAGTCTGACATGCACTTACTCATCCATTTCTATAGGATGCACAATGCCCGTGGGCCTGAGACTGAGGCCTGATTTCTGCAGGTGGGAAGTGGGAGGGATTGCTACTTTGTTTCCTGTTGGTTTTCCTAAAGTAACAAGGAGAGATCCAGACGTCTTTGGCCAGGGCTCCTTTAGCCACTTTGGCAGTTCTGTTTGTGTGCTGACCTGGACCATCCTTGTCTTGTATTTTCATGCTGGTGGTCCCCATGCTGACCCTCACCTGGGCCCAGGCCCTCTGCCAAGCGCCCCTGTGAGATGGGAGGAGTGAGGCAGCGGGATAAGAGTTGGTGGTTGTTACTATGCATTCTGGCTGCCCTCTGGGCTGCCTCCCTTCTTCTTCCCACGCTGCATGTCCATCTCTTTCCCTGGGTTTGAGATTGAACTGACTGCTTGGGTGAGAAGTGTCCTCTTTAAAGAGACTCTTTACTGACCAACTGAAGTATACACTTTTCTGCTGGACAATCCGCATGGGCATCACCCCCTCACCTGCATGTACCCAAAAAAGGGGTCCAGAGCCAAGGCTCCTGCATTCATTGTCCCTCTCTGTGCTCAAGGAGTTCCATTCCAGGAAGAAAAGATCTGTACCTTAGGCAGATAACAGAGAAGATAATGGAGGAGCAATTGGTCATAGTCTTGGTTCCCTCCCACCAAACAACTGCACATTGTCTGCATTTAGGGGGGAAAGGTGGGTAGATTTCAGCTCCTTGGATGACCTTCAGGAGACACAGGAGCTGGGAAAAGAGACAGAACTACAGACTTTGGAACCAGCTGAGAAGAGAACAAATTCATGGGTGCTGGTGCTTGAATTTAGCCAGGCTCCTCAAGCACCTTGTGCATGCCTCAGACCCTGGACCCTAGTCCCTTCCTGCCCTGCAGCCTGCAGTGTCAGCCAACAGATACCTTCACCACAGGGTTTGGTTTTGCTGGCTTGAAGACAACAAATGGTCTTAGAGCTCATTAAGACCCATAGCTTCATATGGCTGCTCCAGCCCCACATCTTAGCGTTCTTACTCCACTTCTGGGGCTAATGTCAGCATCTATAGACTATTAATAGACTATTTAAAAAACAAACCACCTTTTAAACAGGAAATGGAAGGCATTTGATGCAGAACTTTTGCATGATGACATAGAAATAATTTAAAAAAAAAAAATAGTGTTTGTTCTGAATGTTGGTAGTCCCTTCATAGCTTTGTTACAATGAAACCTTGAAGATATTTAATAAAATAACCTTTAAACAGTCCATTGTGTTATTGCTGTTGGAGGCTCTTAGTCATGGGCTTGGAGTTTAGCAGCCTGCGTGACAAGGCTTCACTAGGAAATGAACATCTTTTCCCCCATTCCATTGGGGAGCAAGGAAGAAAACTTCTCAAACTCAGCCTGGGATGCAGAATTGGGGGTGGCAGAGAGGAAGTAGCCTCTTAAGCAGTGGGCCGTGCCTTTGCCCCGCCCCAGTCAGGGGTGGCCCCGCCCTTGGTACGCGGGCTCCCTCCTCCTCCGCGGGGCTGAGTGGACAGGCCTGGGCCCTGGGCCCGCCCCGACGCTCCGCAGACTGTGCCACCCGGCGTGGAGGACAGGGTCCGCTCCGGTGGGCCGAACGCGAGGCCAGAGGCCTGGGAGGCAGCGTCTGGGCTGAGCTCTTTGGAAGGCCATTGGCTTATTCCAGATCTCGGTCGTGCGGCGGCCACGCTCGGGGAGCGCGCGGGCCCGAGCGGGCACCGCGAGCCGCAGCGCGCCGCCTCCCCCTGGTGGGAGCTGTACTTGGGCCCGACTGCGGCGGAGCGTTCGCTCGGAGATGGCGGAGCCGCCGCGACGCGGCCCGAGGCCCCGCGAGCAAGGAAGCCGGGCGGCCCCGGGACGCGGCGGGGCCCGGGGACAGCGGGGACGCCGCCCACTCCACCGGGTGAGCCATCCTTGAGAGCAGCCTCCGTCCACGGTCGCCCTCAGTTTTCCCTGTCAGACTTCCCGCAAGTGTCGCCACCGAAACCACCCGCAGAGTCGTCCTGGGCGGCCACCCATCCGGCCCTGTGCGCCCCTGCCCCGTGTCCCGGCCGCTAGCCTCCTCTCACTTGCCTCATTCCAGCACTCTGTCCGGGTCAAACGGGGTCCTTTCAGCCGGTGCCTGTCTGGATGTCCACTCTCGGCCGCACCCCTATCCCTTCCCCTCCAGCTCCCCCACCTGTGGGCTTCCCATTTCTTCACGGAGCCCGTAGTTCCCACAGGAGGGTCCCTCTATCCTCAAGGTCAGGTCCTCCCTCCCACATCATGAGCTCTGTTGTTTATCCAGTGGTGGGACCACACCTCCAGCCCACCCTGACCCTGTGTTTGCTGCCTGCCCACTTTGGCTGACGACCCTTGGGTTTCTCCTTCCTCAGAAACTTTCCACTGCCACACACATGTTCTTCCTCCAACATTAGTCATCCTACTGCCACCCCCCCCCCACAAAGTTCTCACATGATCCCCTCTCTAAATCTCACCGGCTTCCTCTAGAAATGAAGCGAAAATGCAGTGGTTACAACACAGGAGTTTGACAGGCCTGACCTTTGAATCCCAGTTCATCCACTAACGGAGCTTTGTAATCTTGGGTAAGTTACTAAGCTTCCCTGGGCCTGAGATTATGCGTGTGTAAAATGGAACTAATACTAGTTATGTGTGTTTTCACAACTCTTAGAGCTAGCATTAAATACAGGTGCTTCTAGATTTACTGATAAACCTTTAAGATATCCTAAATTAAATTGCACATTGTACATCTAACCTACTGACCCCAAGAGTTTATCAGTGAGTGCCCTCTGCTCCGTGATGGCAGTTGCTTAACCTTCTGATTGTGTGGCTGAGTATGTACTTAGTGTCTCTCATTACAAGAAAAGTATTGTTGGGGCTGTAGAGGTAGCCCAGTGGTTCAGAGCACTCGCTGCTCTTCCAAAGGTCCTGAGTTCAATTTTCAGCACCCACATGGTGGCTTATAGTCTGATGCTGTCTTCTGGTGTGCAGATGTACATGCAGACAAAGTACCTATATACATAAAATACATAAGTAATAAGCCTAAAAAAATAAAAGTATTGTGTCTATAAATCCACTACCTTAGGAAATGATTAAAATTCTCTGGCCTGAGGTTGTAACTCCTGATAGAGCATTTGCCTAGCATGTGCAAGACCATGTATTCCATCGCCAGCACTGAAAACCAAAACCCAAAACTATTTGAAGTATACTTTATACTAAATGTTTATCATTTGCACATTGATTTTTGATGATGGTGGTGGTAGTAGTTTGGTTTGGTTTGGTTTTAAGAAAGTGCTTCTCCGTGTAGCCCTGGCTGTCCTAGAACTAGCTCTATAGACCAGGCTGGCCTCAAACTCAGAGATTGTCCTGCCTTTGCATCACTGCCCAGCTTCATTTGCACATAGTAATAAATCAAAGTCAGATCTGTCTGTATATGCAAAGCTCTCCAAAGAATGTCCAACAAGCAATAAGCACTCAGTATATACTATTATTAAACTGGTATACATGTGAAGTATAGCTAGCTTTCCATGCATTCTCACTACTGTTTCCCTGTTAGAATTTAGCTGTTCTTGCCAGGCAGTGGTGGTGCATGCCTTTAATCCCAGCGCTCAGGAGACAGAGGCAGGCAAAGTTCGAGGCTAACCTGGTCTATATAGAAGCCAGAGCTACACAAAGAAACCCTGTCTGTAAAAACAAACAAAAGGATTCAGTTCTTCCCATGATCTACATACACCTCTCCCTCCTATGTCTACTCCTGCCTCCCCCATCTCCCTCTCTCCGCCATTGCATTTAGAGCCTCACACATTATGAGCATGGGCTTTGCTCTAAACTGAGACTCCATCCCCAACACAGTTTGTTTTTTTTTTATTTATTTTTATTTCATGTGTACTATGTTCTGCCTGTATGTATGTCTGTGTCAGATCCCCCTGGAACTGGAGTTACAGACAACTATGATCTACCATGTTGGTGCTAGGAATTGAATGCAGGTCCTCTGGAAGAGAAGCCAGTGCTCTTAATCACTGGGTCATCTCTCTAGTCTCCATCATTTTTTTATTCTGTCTCCCAGCTCTCTTGTTTCAATTAGTTTTACCCAGGCCAGAGCTGAAGTCTATATAAATTACCGTAAATCATCTCTTTGGATTCTGAAGGACCTTGTTTCTCTCTGCCTAAGGCCACCGAGGTGCATCCACTAGAGTGGATGGTGGAGCAGTTTTGCCAGCTACTGACCTTTCTGAGATTAGCTAAAATAAAAAGGGACTGTAAACTTGCAGCAGTCTTACTTGAGAAAAAGAAACTGTCAAGTTAGATTTCCTTAAAGCTGTTTTCTGCTCATCTGACCTTCAAGTCACTGTCTGTCCCTGGATCCTGTCACCCATGTTCCTCCAGTCTGTTGCCCAGCAGCTCCTGTGCTGTTCTGGAATGAGGATATAGTAACACCTCAGTTAACTTAGGAAGGAGACGCAGAAGGGGAAAAGGGGAGACTCTAGGTTCAGCTTTCTGGCTTTCTTAGGTGCTAGTGATAACATGCCCTGCCCTAGGTATGTGTTTTCTCTTCTCAGCTGATTCTGCTGTGGGTGGAGAAAGGGTGTGGGGTAATTTTTTTTTACAAATAGTGGAAAGGAAAGCCTTCCAAGTTCTGGTCTCAGAAGCTAATAGTATGATTAGCTCTCACAGTTCCTCAACTCCCCCACCATAGTGTGCATGTGACTGCAAGTCCGTTAGTGATGTTGGCTGTGGTGATGGATGTGATCGATGTAGAAGATTAAGACTCGGGAGGTCTCTCCTATCTGATTATCTGATGGTTCGTTGGATCATGAGACTTCTAAGATGTGCCGTCCACTTGTTATCAAGAGCCCACCGGAGTTCCTGCTCATTGGCAGACTTCTCAGACAGGATGGGGATTTCTTTCAGAGTATAGCTCTGTTCATCCTCCTGGCTGTTTGGTCTCTGTGGATAGGCTCTTCCATAACTTGACTTGCTGCCCTAGCTTGAACACAGGGGAATTTGGACATTCCCTAAGAAAGTGAACAAGCTATGAAGCCAAGGTATGGGATCCAATGCATATTCTTTCTATATAAGCTTTACTCTTTTCTAAAGAACAAAGTGTCTGGGCTGGGGCGAAAACTTAGTAGGGACGGTGCCTGCTGTGAAAGCACAAGGATCTGGGTTTAGATTCCCAGTACCCACGGAAACCCTGATGTGTGGTAGCACACATTCCCAGGACAGAGAAGCGAGACCAGGGCTTTGCTAGCCATCCATTCTAACTGGGACAGAGAGCTTCAGGTTCAGTGAAAGACTGTCTCAAAAATATGAGAGTGGTAAAGGAGGACACTGATATTGACCTCTGGCTCTATCCATGCGCGAGCGTGTGCATGCACACGCACACACACACGTCCACACACATGCACAGAAGAGATCATCACATATATACATGGGGTAAGAGACGGGACAAAGAGAATGGCTAATGACAGACTTTCAAAGGAAGAAGTTTACCCGCCAATTTCTCTGCTTTACAGATTGTAAGGGCCAATCTGGTGGACTTCACTGACTTCTGACGTAAGAACCTCCACCGGGGCTGAGGGAGCTTAAGTTTCAGCCTGAGGCATGGGCCAGGGGGCCATGGTGACTTGAGACCTGTGGATTCTGTCCAGTACAGCCTGTTGCTCCTTCTGCCTCCCCTGTCCTGTATTGAAAGCATTCATGTTCATCTCATCAGGGAACTGACCCTAAGAGAATTCCTTCCCTTGCCAAGATAGTTTCAGCCCACAGAACTCATCCTTCCCATCTCCTGAGGTGGTCCCTATCCCTCCCTCCGTTCTCCTCGCCATGCTCCAGCTGTGGAAGGTGGTACGCCCTGCTCGGCAACTGGAACTGCACCGCCTCATACTGCTGCTGATTGGTTTCAGTCTTGTCTCCATGGGATTCCTGGCTTACTATGTGTCCACCAGCCCCAAAGCCAAGGAACCCTTGCCTCTGCCCTTGGGAGACTGTAGTAGCAGTGGGGTGGCTGGCCCTGGCCCTGCAAGACCACCAGTCCCACCTCGACCCCCAAGGCCTCCAGAAACAACTCGAACAGAACCTGTGGTCCTTGTGTTTGTGGAAAGTGCATACTCACAACTGGGGCAGGAGATTGTGGCCATCTTGGAGTCTAGTCGCTTTCGTTATAGCACTGAGCTGGCACCTGGCCGAGGGGATATGCCCACCCTGACTGATCATACCCATGGCCGCTATGTCTTAGTCATC